TAAAACATTTCGTATCCGATACCAATGGACAGCAAATATATTTGTGGCTATGCACCATAGCATATATGCCCTCCTAGGGGTTAAGCAGACTCCAAATAAATGCAGGGTTACAGCAGTTTCGCATAAGGAATGCTGATAGTCAATAGGATACACTGGAACATGTGCACCACATCACAAAACTTACTATACCCTTTATCTACCCACAAAAGAACCTTCTATATACCAAACAACAACACAGCATTACTTTTACCTTACCACAACTCAGCATTATATACATCTCACCACAACACAACATTCTATATACCTCACCACAACACAACATTCTATATACCTCACCACAACACAACATTCTATATACCTCACCACAACACAACATTCTACAAACCTCAACAAATCACATTATCCCCCACACAAACACACACACGAACACTTATACACATATTAAACATTTCATTATCCCTTCCTCAGATTCTGCAGAGGGCTTGAGACTCTTGGCGTTTTCGGAGAATTAAAAACTCATGGAAGACGAATGGAAGAAGTTTTTGTCCATCAAAACAAGATTTTAGATTCCACGACCGTCGAAATCCTTTTCGAACTTGAACTTGCCGATGCCAACAGTAACCGACACCGAACAGAGGGAATAGTGCTGTCAAGCTGAAGAGATTTCCTTCTGGATTTAGAAGGTACACTCACATCTCACTCAGTTCTATTGTTAGTTCTCAAAACATTGCCATGAACAGGAGTATTAAGTTAATAATTTTAGGTCATTATGCCCCCATGATTAAAATGAAGTATTTGATTATTCGAACATATTTGAGTGAGCAGGTGAGTTAGTGAGTGTGAGGTATTTCTGTTATTAGCAGCGTGAAAACAAATATGTATTTGAAAACGGATACCAACATCTAAGGTACGAAATAGATATCAAACTAAATATATATTACCTGAGACAAATTCCGATAAACACCTCACATGATTGACAAGAATGGGCACTTTGTTTAACATATTTCACCATCAATCCAATCATCCTTTTTAGACCCAATTTTGAAACCCTTCATGTGATAAACAAATCTAAGAAAAGAAGAAACGTTTGTTTAATATAACGTTTCCATTTCAGAAGAAATAGGAATCCCTTCACTCAAGGATCTATTGGTTTTCGGCACCGGCGCAAACGAAATACCGCCTTTAGGATTCCTCCCCTCTCCAAGGCTGCTCTTCCACCAGGCGGCAACTGAGTCTCCTGAAGTCAAGAAAAAATTTCTTTTTGCTAATGCATGTGCAAAAAGTCTCTCTCTCCCGATGATTGCTGACTAGGCGGTGGCTCATGGGCCCAGTGTGATCAATAACTTCACTGAGTCGACGAAGACCGAGTTTTCGCTTCAGCGTTCTTACACTACAAACATATTATATCTTCTATAAATTATTATGAGAGATAATGTTGAAACGGCTGAACATTAACAGCTCGCAAATATATAAATACTCAGTCCAAACAATCAATTCATCAGATTTTCTGATTAAGCCATTACGAATGTTTCATATGAACATTCACTTTTACACGAAATTATAGAATTTATTATGATCTTGCTACTGGCTAACATGGCATCGTCTTTTGTTGGTTACCAAACCATGTTGGTATCTGGTAACGCAATAGCCGATCGATGCTGCAAAAGCAGCACTCAACAAATCTGTGACAACACTTCTTATCCCATACACTGATTATAAACCTGTAATCAGATCTTACATCCGTGAAATTATGCAAAAGAAGCCGGACACCCAGGAAGCTATCAATAAATTACATGTAATTAAACCACATATCGGTAGACTGGAAGTTAATTTAAGGTACCGACGTTTACTACAATATCTGAAAAACTTTTGGACCTACTCCAGTCAAAGTTGGTATGATATTATTAAACAGTCATACATAACTGGATATTACATTTAAAGACAATCGGTGCATGAATTAAAAAAATCTGTCTATTTAGCTATCACTGTATTTCATCAACAACCAGACCTGTTCGTCATGGGTGGAACGAGCATTCATTTTAACAGCCATCTGCATAATGCTACCCCTGCGTCACAGGGCCATATGACACAGTTGAACCAATCAACTCAACTCGAAAGGTTGCAGGGCAATCACGCACGCACGAATACGGTGTTAGCGTTGGGCGTCTCAAGCAGTTATTTAATAATATTTATCAAATTATTTTTGCATTCTTTTTCAGGTCAGTGTTATTGACTTGAATGTATCATTCCTTGCCACATTATTATATTTCATGCATCATGTTATTAGGTGTAATATATCATACGTAATTATTCATTTAGACAAATCATTGCTTAAATTATCTTCCAGACTATACTTGGGTTGTCAGTCCAGATTTGAAGAGGTCATTATGAAAGGTCAAAAGGAAAGGATCCTCCGTTTTGTATCCCTTGTGATGAAAGAATCACGGTCAAGCATGTCCTGCTTGACTGTATTGATTTTTCCATCACAAGGGATAAATATGTCAGTGTAAAAACAGTCAAGGACCTTTTTAATTATGTTAATTCTCATTTAATATTATGCTTTTTAAAAGAAATAGAACTTTTTCAGACATATTGATGTATTTCGGGTATTATTTTATAAATTGGTAACTAAGATTGTTAGTGGCTGTGCTCACGAGGGGGGTTGAAGTAGTGTAAAATTATTGTCCCCCTAAGAGGGTTCGTAAGTTCCACAACATTCGAATTATTTTTTATGCATGCCAGACTTTTAAACGTAGTGTTTTAGTCATTTTTGCAGAGGTACCGTAAGTCCCCATGGTTCCTTGTATGGTGATCACCCTTCAGTGACTGACGATCTCTAGCCCATTTTTATATTGTGTTCACTAATACTTTCTGCTTTTATATATTCTGAAGTAGTTTTAAATCGAGTCTGTGATATTCTAGTTAGTGTACTGTACATCATTGACAGCTTTTTATTTAGTCTAAATTTATGTATTATAAATATATGTATTTTATGACATGACCCGTAATGGGATGTCCTCAGATCTTTTTTAAGCGATAGCGAGAACTAAGATCTGATTTTACTGATTGTTTTTTCGACAAGCACAGTCGCCTTTTACGGCAAGCATGGTTGGCTGAAGACCTATTCTAACCCTGATCTTCACAGGTAGGAAACTTGTATAAATACATACTACATACACCAGCTTCTCGGTGCTTGTTTAATGAATACGCATATCGTGGTATGGACAACTATAATTGTACTCCATAACAATACAATCACACCTTATCAAGGTGTCTACGAAGGCTTCAAAGAGCGGCTGCTGTTAACAAGCTGTTCGATCGGGATTACAGCATAAAGGCCATAGTATGTCTTTCAAAACGTGCTATGGTAGACATTTATCGCATAAGCTACCAAGGTTACGACCGATGCAATTCGATGTTGACATGCACCACATGTTCACGTGTTTGTTCAGCTAAATACTTGACTTGCCTTCACGTGTTTGTTCAGCTAAATACTTGACTTGCCTTCACGTGTGTGTTCAGCTAAATACTTGACTTGCCTTCACGTGTGTGTTCAGCTAAATACTTGACTTGCCTTCACGTGTGTGTGTCTTATGGGTGCCATTGGTGGGTCAGGATATTCTCACCTTTTCGGGAACCCCTGGCATCACAACTAATTGATAGTGATTCATAAACTTTCGATATAGTCAGAATCTTACAATGGACTCTGCCACCACTAAGATTTCTTATGAATATGGAAATGGCTTTGTGTATGTTTCTAGTCACTAAGGGGACAACCATCAATGTGGTATTTATAGGAGGGGATATATATATATATATATATATATATATATATATATATATATATATATATATATTTAAAACAAAAAAATCTGTGCCCGAAAATGTTTGTGTTCTCGGATTTTTCAAGAAATATTCTTCAAGGGCATTCTGGATGCTGATGGAGAAGAAAGGCTCGGATGTCTTGAAGCGGTGAATGATTGGTTTGGTTTGGTTTGTTGTTTTACGCCGCAATATTCCATCTATATGACGGCGGTCTGTATATAATCGAGTCTGGACCAGACAATCCAGTGATTAATATCATGAGCATCGATCCACGCAATAGGGATCGACGACATGCATCAACCAAGTCAGCGAGCCTGACCACCCGATCCCGTTAGTCGCCTTTTACGACAAGCATAATGGCCTTTTACGGCAATCATGGGTTGCTGAAGACCTATTCTACCCCGGATCTTCACGGGTCGCTGAATGATTAAAGATATTGAGAAGAGTAGTGGGAACAGCTTTTAGAGGCATGGTAGCTGACGTCAGTCTTACAAAGTGTCAGCGTTAGGGGCTGTAAGAAGCGACTGTTGATACGCGACGGACAATAAGGCCGCGTAATCAGCCCTCCTGACCTGTGGTTAAAATGATAGCTTTTTGGAAGCTTTTATTTCCTTTACAAGTTTGAGTGGTATCAACAAAAGTATTATTTAATTCGATATCGTATGTTTGTTGTTAAACGCCGCACTCTGCAATATTCTAGCTACATGACGGCGGTTTGTAAATAATCGATCCTGTACCAGACAATCCAGTGATTGACATCATGAGCATCGATCCACGGAATTGGGATACGACAAATCACTTTTCCTAGTCAAAGTGTTTATGAATAGCCTTTTCATGACGAAAGCATGACAGGGGACGTTAAGAAAGCATGCAAGAATGTCTTTGAAATCATCAAGATTCAGAGCAGTAAAAAATCTCCAAAAGCTCTTTCAAGTTCCGTGAAGTAGGACATGCAGTTCTGCTTGTCGCTTCAAAGGCAATAACATGCTTTGTTTCTTTTCCATTGTGAACAATAACGTATTCAGGCACTATACCACGTCAAGGTCTGTTTCATATTCATTTGAATATGCATTACAACGTTTCATCCTTTGTGTTGTGAAGACTTTCATCATACCTGCACGCGACGTTTCTGTCGATAAAAAGCCAGTACCCCTGGCAAAGGGGCACAGTTCCGACTGGGGTTACACAGACGATGGCTGCCTCTCTGGTCTGTTTGGTGTTCCTATGTGCAACGCATGCTGTGGCTAATGGTGTCGCCAGGGATGAGGTAGCGACGTCGTTGTCGTTGAGTAAGTATCAACTAATCCGTTGGCCATTTTCATCAATTTTTCGTACTTTGCTCAGCCTGCCATATGCTATTCCAAAAGGGGCGTTTTGACAACGGGCATTGTAAATCGTCTGAGTGCCTGTTACTAGAGGACCAACCTGTAGGTCCCGTGACCAAATCATGGAAACAAAGGTTTGAAAGTGTTTTTGAGTTTCCTGATGTACACTGAACAATTTTGACTTGGGCTGCCCGGTTGAAAATCCCGGGCATTTTGGGGAAGGGTCAACAAAGGTCAAACGGCGGAAGCTATTATTTACCCCAAAGGATGTAGCGTTCCGTCTATAGATATATACTGAGTCAAATTAAAAACTTCACATTTTTAAAAGTAATCCCATATATGATATACAACGGTCAAATCTATCAGAGAAGGTAATTTTTAATCATTAATGTCCAAAGAAGGATTTTAATTAACGGTGGTAACCATAATTTGTTCCAAGCACCTACGGTATTCGGTAATACCATCAACAGTTTAAGTCATAAGTCCCAAGCACGAGAATTTGATGGCACACAAGTTTAGTAGCGTGTATGGCCACTATGTGCGTTGACAACTGCCACACAACGCCTCCGCATGGACCTTGTGATGCTTGTGAACACATGATTGGGAAGACGACGCCATTGTTGCTGCAAAATGGTGCCAAGATCTTGCAAATTTCTTTGGTTGGTTCTGGAGAGTGCGCAGACTTCTGCCAAGAGCATCCCAGACGTGTGCGATGGGATTGAGGTCGGGAGACCTTGACGGCCAGTCCATGACGTTGACTCCCGCATTCTGAAGGAAATTCCTTGTCAAAATTGCTGTGTGGGGTCTGGCATTGTCGTGTTGGAAGATCAAAACGGGTCCATGTGCTGCCATAAAAGGCAGAAGTTCTGGTGCCAGTACCTGTTCGCGGTAAGCAGCAGCGTTGAGGTTGCCAAACCATGACACTTTCACCTCGAAATCTGTCATCTTCCTGTACACAACACTGGGCGTAACGTTCATGACGTTCATGACTCCACACCCTGGCCCTACCATCAGCAAATCGAAGATTAAATCGGGATTCATCACTGAAGACGACTTGATTCCAATTCCTCTGAGTCCATCGTAAGTGTCGCTTTGCCCACAATTGACGTTGACGTCTGTGTAATTGAGTCAGAATCGGCCCGCTGTATGGCAGTCGTGCTTGAAGGTGAGCAGTTCTCAGACGGTTTCGAACAGTTTGCGCACTCAGTCTACCCCTAAACAGTTCATTTCTGGTTGATGTAGCCGTCAAAAATTGGTTACGGAGGTGACGTAAGACAATCTGACGATCCTCTGCATGTGACGTCACACGTGGTCGACCTGGCCGATGGTGGTACCCGTTTGCTGTAGACGCGTCTGTAAATCATAAACAGTCCGTCGACTACAACCCATCGTCTTTGCGACTTCAGCTACGGACGTTCCCGTCTGCAACATGCCGATGGCACGTTCACGTTGCACATTTGAAAGGCGTGGCATGACAAATGGCCGTAAAGACTTTTGTTTTCTTGTGTTTTTCTTTCTTTGTTAATGACTGCTAACAAGTATGGCTGAAAACACGTGCGGTATTATGGCCACGTTACCAGTTGCACGTGAAAAAACACTTTTGCCACTATAGTGCTGTGGACATGATTTTGATCGATTCACCTGCACAAAAACGGGTGTTATCTGAAGACAATACGTGGCCATTACTGTTTAAGTACAAAAATAAGGGCCCACAATGATAACTGGTCAAAATGTTAAAATTTTATGATTGTGAAGTTTTTAATTTGGTTCAGTATATTAATATATATTTAAAAAAGTACGCGTGACTTCATGTTTACGCTGACAGCCATACAACAACCAGCTGTATCGCGGAATAAAATAGTCCCGCAAAAAGAGAGGTGACATAAGCGTATGTATGATCAAATTGCTTTTGATGAACATCTGCTGTAATTTGTTTTCAACACATGTATTCAAATAATATCATCATTGGGTGAGAAGGGTCTCGGTCACAATGACAGCGCGTCGAAATACATTTACATCAAGTACAAGACGTCAAAATGGCCGACACGATAAACGTGACGGGAGAGATTTCTGCTGTTGTTCATGAACCTTTTGACGGTTACATGTTATAATCATCATTGATCATTTGGCCGATCGATCATTTAACGGTTTGTCAGATAGATACTAAGGTAAATTCATAGATTGCTGTAGACTGTCACGGTCAGTCATTCCATTGGTCGGGCAAAGTTCGCAAAAGGTTGGTCTGACGCGACACGTCAGGGATGTCCTCAGATCTTTGTTTAGCGGTAGAGTAAAGCCTTGAATCAATGAGCATGGCTCCAAACAGGTATCATCTCATCTCTGAAATGAAAATATTTTACAGAATTTTGGTTTGCTAAATTATCTTAATAAAATATAATAAAAAGGAGCCCGGAGACTCTCTTTATTGACACTGCTGTAATCTAGACTTGCCAACTGTTTTAATGAGATTGTACCTTCCCCGACTCAAGCTGAAAACATGGCCGAACGCGAGTAATGGCCACACATGGTGGTGTTTTGTTCAATGCCATGCCGTGATTACAGATAACCCCAATTTGCAAAACATTTCCATATGCAGTGGAACACGGATAAAATGAACTACAAGAGACCAGAGAAATCAGTTCGTTATATCCGTTGTTCGTTATATACGTTTTCGCTCGGAAACGTCCGCCATCTTGGATAACGCAAAGCACATTACACGTAATAGACGTGTATAGAACATGTAAAAATAAAAGTTGCAAAGTTTTCTGTGGAATCAATATTGACCAGGAACCAAGGTTTTTTTTACCTTTTCCATACTTTCTAATTTCAAGAATCCACGATCACAACGAGACTGACTGCCTTGGAAGCTGAGATGAGTAAGTAATCGTGACTAGTGATCACCAGGCTGCTTGGTTTGTTGTTTAACGCCGCACTCAGCAATATTCCAGCTATATGACGGCGGTCTGTGAATAATCGAGTCGGGACCAGACAATCCAGTGATTAAGATCATGATCATCGATCCATGCAATTGGGATACGATGACATGCATCAACCAAGTCAGCGAGCCTGACCACCCGATCCCGTTAGTCTCCTTTTACGACAAGCATATTCACCTTTTACGGCAAGCGATGACTACAACATGTTGGCTACTAGTATATATTGATCTTTATGTTACAAGCATATCTGGGTTGGTCATGTCAGTTTTCACAATTTACAATACAACTTATAGTTAAATGGTTTAAATAACTACGTTAATTTTGTTTGGTGAAACAACAGTGGTCGTTATTTATTAACCCATGACTAACATTTCTCGAAAACGATATCATGGCTAACAATATTGGTAAAAACAAGAACTAGTATCTCAGATTAATCATTTTTCCCCAGAGACTGTCGTTCAGGAAACTATTGAGGACATCCTCAGACATCTAGATGAGTTGGAGTCCAAGCAAGGTATGTATTAACACTGGAAGAAATGTGTACCTTAATCTTGCTGAGTATTTACCAGGTTAGACAAATGTAAATATGACATTTAGCGACTTCCCTATTAAACGGTGGGCCCCTTATAAGCCTGAACAATATTAATTACATGAATTGTCGTAATAACACAGGCAGTTATATACACTGAATTGTCGTAACAACATAGTCAGTATATACACTGAATTGTCATGATAACACAGACAGCATATACACTGAATTGTCATGATAACACAGACAGTATATACACTGAATTATCATAGGAACACAGGCAGTTACATACACTGAATTGTCATATTAACACAGGCAGTATATATACGCTGAATTGTCATAGGAACACAGGTAGTTATATACTCTGAATTGTCATAATAACAGACAGTATATACACCGAATTGTCATAATAAAACAGTCAGTATATACACTGAATTGTCGTTGACTCAATTTGGCCGTCAAAAATAGCACAAGCTGTAGAGAAATATTCATGTACTGGAAAAATGAATATAGATAGGAATAATTGAAGCTTGCGTTGTTAATTGTTTGCACGCTTTTGACTATGGTAAATTAGATGATGGCGTAAAGCCTAAATATTTATAACTAAAACATTTTATAATGATACCTTCATTACTAAAACCAATTACATTTGTTTTTTATAAATTAACTTCCAGACTTCCATTTGTTGCAAGCAGAATCGAAATCAACACATTCAATTTCCTCTGTAGACCAGTAACAGAGTATGAAAAAAGTATAACATCACCAGCATCTTGTGTAGCAAACACACCATAATAGCATCCATTGGTGATGACTTCAACTTTCCAATAGTCAACTTTCCCTTCATGTCGAGCAATATTCCAGCAGCTCGAGCCTTTGGTGTTTACATTTTGCAATTTTGAGATACAATCGAGCATGCCCTTTCTACCAAGAGCGTCATACGACGGAGTTGTTTGATCAAGGTTACAACATTCAAGGCCTCAGTAAAGCTTTCAAAAAAGTTTTATGGTAGACATGTGGAGGACGTTTTCAAATTTGACGCATCAGTGACAAAAATGATGTCCGATGCAATGCCCTATGTTTTTCCCAAATTTTTTTCGGGTGAACAGTTGACTTGACTTTGCATGTGTTTGAGACGGGTGCCACCGGTGGGGCAGGATACGCTCACCTTTTCGCGAACACCTGGTATCATTACGATTTGATAATGATTCATAAACACATGCTCGGTATTATACAATCGACACTGAATTATATTGGATAAGGAAAGGGTTTTGTGGCTTTATTTATATATTTCTGTGTCAAGCTCATTTATGCAGAAAATAAAACTGGACTAAGTACACATCCCTGGGGCACACCACTTGAATGTTTTAATACAAGCCTTTATAGAATTTTTCTTTAAATCTACAAATGCACAATAAAAACGTGGTTTACATAGGTAGATTCACATAGGTATTGGGTTTACATATGTATTGGGAACATAATGCTTGCTATACAAATAAATTGTCAACAGTTGAATAGTTTGGACGAAAAGCAACCTTACATTCAGATAGAAGATTATTCTCATCCAACCAAACACGACGACGCCTTTCCATATTAAAAGTAAATAGATTTCCAGTTACATTTAAACAAATATCTCTGTAATTATTCTGAACTGTCCTTTCAGTCGATATCATGCCAACTTTCCACGACTTCAGAAACACTTAAGTGGCATTGAAAACAAAGAAATATATTATAGTTGTTAGTAAGTGATGCATCCTGGTCAGAGAGGTGTTGCATACCTATTTTTGTCCTATATATTGATGATCACACAACAGCAGCACAGACGCAGAAGGATGAACCACAGGGGAGGCCAACAGCAGCACAGACGCAGAAGGATGAACCACGGGGAACGCCAACAGCAGCACAGACGCAGAAGGATGAACCACAGGGGAGGCCAACAGCAGCACAGACGCAGAAGGATGAACCACGGGGAACGCCAACAGCAGCACAGACGCAGAAGGATGAACCACAGGGGAGGCCAACAGCAGCACAGACGCAGAAGGATGAACCACGGGGAACGCCAACAGCAGCACAGACGCAGAAGGATGAACCACAGGGGAGGCCAACAGCAGCACAGACGCAGAAGGATGAACCACGGGGAACGCCAACAGCAGCACAGACGCAGAAGGATGAACCACGGGGGAGGCCAACAGCAGCACAGACGCAGAAGGATGAACCACAGGGGAGGCCAACAGCAGCACAGACGCAGAAGGATGAACCACGGGGAACGCCAACAGCAGCACAGACGCAGAAGGATGAACCACAGATGAGGCCAACAGCAGCACAGACGCAGAAGGATGAACCACAGGGGAGGCCAACAGCAGCACAGACGCAGAAGGATGAACCACGGGGAACGCCAACAGCAGCACAGACGCAGAAGGATGAACCACAGATGAGGCCAACAGCAGCACAGACGCAGAAGGATGAACCACAGAGGACGCCAACAGCAGCACAGACGCAGAAGGATGAACCACAGGGGAGGCCAACAGCAGCACAAAAGAAACCAAAATTCGAATCTTACCAAAGAGGTAAGCACATGGATGTACAATCATGCTAGAAATACCTGCTTTAAATTAAGCTTACATATCTCATGTAGCCTACTTCAGGGCGAGGTAAAACAACCTTGAACTTCATTCTTGATTATCTCGGCGTTCTGAACTGTGACAACATAGATTCAATTTCGTATAACCCTGGGTAGTGAATGGGCGACCTGCGTTTTACGCCGCGTTTAGCAATATTCCAGCAATATCACGGTGAGGGACACTAGAAATGGGCTGAATGTTGAAAGAAGCGACTGAAATGGATCGTTGGCCAGGCTCGGCGGAATGGTTGACTGCGTGTCCTCGTACACCGTTGCTCGTCAGATCAAAAACTATTTCGTCTGTTCCTAACTCGACCCGTAAAGATCCGGGCTAGAATAGATCTTCAGCTTGTCGTAAAAGGCGACTCTGCTTGTCGTAAGAAGCGACTAACGGGATCGGGTGATCAGGCTCGCTGTCTTGGTTGATGCATGTCATCGATCCCAATAGCGTGGATCGATGTTCATGATGTCTGTTACTGGATTTTCTGGCCATGCCTCGATAATTAACAGACCGCCGTCATATAGTAGCTGGAATATTGCTGAGTGCGGCGTAAACAACAACAAACAAACAAACAAACACCACTCTATTTCCGACAATTAGCTGGAATATTGCTAAATACGTGGTTAATCAAAAAACAAACTCCAGCCGTTGCGTACTAGTTATGGTTTACAATACGGCAATGTTCAGATGCTGTTACCGGGGGAACGGAAGAACAGACCAAGAAGGAAGAATTTCAGCGAACGGCAACAAAAGTACCAGTAACGGAATCTGAGAAAGTTGTGGCTGCTGGTTGCGGAGCCCCACCACCACGAGGCGGTACAACGTTCACTCAGACAAAACGCACCGCCGTGTACAAGTGTAAACCAAAGCACCGAAACATCGGTGGGAAAAAGACTTCATCTGTGTGTGATACTGCCTCTGGCGAATGGTCCCAAGTTGACATCTTCTGCACAAACTGTAAGTTCCAGTATATGCCTAACTCACCTGATAGTAGACTAACATTTAGTCTCTGAAATCTTATATTACACAATATCCTTCTTGACTCTAAAAATATTTTTAAAAATCCCTATGCTGTGGAATAGAGCCAGTTTGAGCTGGCTAGACTTGCTTTTGTATGCGTTTCTAGATTTTTTTTCATAAAATAAATATATTTCACGGTCATGGTGCAGGACTAGCCTGATAGTTGCTCACTTCAAATAATGTAATTTGTGCCCTCATAGAAACCCTCAATGAATTACTTCACAATATGGACATGTGAAGATCCGGGGTAGAATAGGTCTTCAGCAACCCATTCGTGCCGTAAAAGGCGACTATGCTTGTCGTAAGAGGCGACTTTAGGGATCGGGTGGTCAGGCTCGCTGATCTAGTTGATGAATGTCGTCGTATTCCAATTGCGTTGATCGATGCTCATGATGCCAATCACTGGATTGTCTGGTCCAGACTCGATTATTTACAGACCGCAGTCATATAGCTGGAATATTGCTGAGTGCGGCGTTAAACAAAGGAAAAAAAACACCAAAATAAATGCTTCAGTGGACGAGCTGCATGATCAGATTAAAAAATGTGTTGGTCAAAACATTTTGTTTAGTTCCACCTCCTTTAAGAATAACTATTGTTAGTCTCGACGCTCGACTGAAAAAATATCGAAACATATACGTTTCATAAGTAATTAAATTTGGTTTCAGTCACAACCTGCTCGAAGATTGTCAAAGGTCGGAGTGTATACGGGGGAACAGTCTCCACCACTAAGAGCGGGCGCACCTGTCAACGGTGGGACCAACAGAAGCCTAACAGGCATTGGTTCCTCACAAACGAGAGCTTCAAGACAACAACTGGTCTCGGTCGGGAGACACGCCGCGACGCCGCCAACTACTGCCGTGACCCCGGCGTCATGGTGGCAGACAAGAGCGTGTGGTGTTATACCACTGATCCGAAAGTACGCTCGGAAGAGTGTGCAGTGCCCGAGTGCCAGGTTCCTAAATAAAAGCTGAAATCCTAAAGTGTGTCCTTCTTTCATTATACTATGGCTATTAACAACCATATAAATATCATTAGGTCATTAGGCGATGGGACCTGTGAAGATCCGGGGTAGAATAGGTCTTCAGCTACCCATACTTGCCGTAAAAGGCGACTCTGCTTGTCGAAAGAGGCGACTAACGGGATAGGGTGGTCAGGCTCGCTGACTTGGTTGATGCATGTCATCGTACCCCAATTGCCTGGATCGATGCGCATGATATCGATCACTTGATTGTTTGGACCAGACTCGATAATTCACAGACCGACGACATAAAGCTGGACTATTGCTGAGTGCGGCGTTAAACAACAAACCAACAAACCAACATTAGGCGATGGGACCCGTGAAGATCTTCAGCATCACATGCATGTCGTATGAAGCGACTAACGGGATCGGAGGGTCAGGCTCGCTGGCTTGGTTGACGCATGTCATCGTATTCCAATTGCGTGGATCGATGCGCATGATATCGATCACTTGATTATCTGGACCAGACTCGATTATTTACAGACCGCCATCATATAGCTGGAATATTGGGAAACCAGGTTGAAGTCCACAGCGCATTGACGAAAACTTAATTGGGTGGAATTGTCAAGCTCAGGGACTTCAGTCAGCTTCATGGCGTATCTCTGACGACGTTAGACGTCGCTCATAATATCAACCACTGGTTTAAGGCTGCAATAGCTAGACTATTGCAGGCTGCTTTGGGAAAACAATATACACACGCTATGTCATTTTGTGTGTAATGGTCATCACTCTATATTCAACTTAACTTAATTCATCACCAATAAACAACTAAACGCACCACTTTGTTTCCTTCCTGTAGCAGACTTATGAATCACAGGTTGATTTTTCATTGTTTAATAGTCAATATTACGGAAGCCTTTTAGGGCCTTGTGTTTTTTATATTTCTTTCGATACTATCTTGAAATTTCAAGATACTTAGTTGAAATTTCAAGAAACTAAGTTGAAATTTCAAGATACTAAGTTGAAATTTCAAGATACTATACTTCTTTTTCAAGAAGTTGAAATTTCAAGATACAGAAGTTCAAATTTCAAGATACTATCTTGAAATTTCAACTAATTATCTTGAAATTTCAACTTAGTATCTTGAAATTTCAACTTCTGTATCTTGAAATTTTAAGATAGTATCTTGAAATTTCAACTTAGTTTCTTGAAATTTCAACTTAGGATCTTGAAATTTCAAGATAGTATCGAAAAAAAGGAAACTAAGTTGAAATTTCAGTATAGATAGTATTGAAATACTGATGATATAAATGATTTTATTGGATTTATCAAAACGAACATGATCGGGTTTGTTGTCCTGGATACGTCTGAGGCTGTATGGTTTGGTTTGATTATAATACAGCGGTCTGTAAACAATATAGTCATGACCAGACAATCCAGTGATTGACATATTGAACATCGATCCACGCAATGGGGATACGATGACATGCATCAACCAAGTCAGAGAGTCTGACCAAGCGATCCCGTTAGTAGCCTCATACAAGCAATGTCGCCTTTTACGGTAAGCATGGGTTCCTATTCTACCCCGGATCTTCACGGGTTTCTGAGGCTGTAAAAGGGCCTATTCCAAAGAATTTTGTTGTTATCAGTTTCCATGACGCCCTCTACAAATTCCAGGTCGTACCATGGATGGACCTCTGTGTCGAAACCACAAGACGGTAATAAAATGAGCGATCTACACTACCATGTCGCTTAAGATACAGTGTTTGTGTCAAAGCTGGGCATCCACTGACAATGTGTTGGACAGTCTCATTATATTTATTGCATAAACTAAATTTCATATTTACATTTTGATGCAAAATAACACATTGACGGTTATATTATTATCATTATCATTAATATTATTATTATTTAATTGGTAATGAGCGTCGTTGACTATTTCTCAAGAACGCTAACTGATAGGTTAGTTAAGTACCAGAATCACAATTTATGTTTGAAGCAAGAGAGTGAACTGAATGAGAGAGTGATTTATCTGTCAGATATATCCCTGCAACTTAATGACTGAAGTGTGACGGTTGATCACTAGAGCTGACAACATAATATAGCCTTCTTAGCCGGTGTCCTTTTATAAACTCTCCCCCGTACAAATTCTCCCCCCGGAGATTTTATACCGGTACCGGAGAATCTGTTCTGAAATAAAATCTCCCCCGGGCGGATATATTTCGCGCCACCCTCAGTATAAAGTCTCTCCCAAAATGATTGACATAGTCCTTTATAGTGCGAGGATTGGGCTGTTTTCCCACCCGATTGACTGATATTACAATGCGTGCCAGATGAAAAGAAGGCTAATGATCTTCATCGCCGAGGAGATAGGACAATGAGTATAATGTTATAAATGCCTGGATGACTCATTTTCAAAAGATGTCACTATATTTGTCCAAACTCATTACAAAATTTTAAAAATATATATTTACATTGCAATTTATACAGATTATCACCTGCAAAGTAATGCATATAATAAAACGGTTAGTTTCAATTATTGTGTCATATTATGTGTTTTTGATGCATTTTAAATGGGTAGAAAATGCATTCTTTGGCTGTCCCAGTGCATTCAGCTTAAAATTGGAGAAACTATCATTTTATACATATTAGCATATTTTTAGTTTTACTGTGGTTGTCTCATAAAATCTAGATTTATTTAGGAATTTCAGTGTGTAATTTCAATCTAATTGATATAATCGTTATATTTATGTTGAATGGGTAACAGTATTTCATAGAATTGACTCTGAGTACATATTGGTCAAGAGACATAATAAATGACCTTCATCCTCACTTCAAGTTTAAAATACAAAATCAGGAAGAAATAAATGTTTTAGATGTGACTTTTGCATTTTCATGAATTTCAATCCAAAAAAATTCACACAAACATTGTATTAGGAAAGACATGCCAATTTTCAGTTGCCAAGGTAATTGGTTATTCCTTTTTCTTAAAGGCATCATTAAGACTTTGATGTTATTGACAGCTTCAGATATGTGTTATTCAATTTAATCTCAAAAAGATATATATATACATCAACCATTGGATTATGTAATTTTGAAAATGACTCGTGTATCAGTGATCCCTAAACAAGAAAACTAGCTAAATGCAGCAATAAAATGGATAAATTTATTTTGAAATATTAGTTTACAAATAAGTCTCTGTTTGTCATTTGTAACGAACCAAAAAAGAAAACTACAAAATGGACCCAGAGGTCTGAATATAAGGTTTCACAGGAGCTCATCACAAGAAGCTCACATGAGTTCATAACAATACCAAGCTGAAACTAGCCTCGTTATTGTAACTAACATTATCTTGCTTGATAATCAGACAATAGTATCGCCTTTGGACACATCAGCCGCGTCTGTTGTTCAGTGTTGTCGCAGCATCGTTAATGACAAGGCGTTAATGACTTATTGTTCACCACCTGGCTCCCGATATTCAGATACTAAACTGGAGAGGAGTAGCATGACATGGAATCTTGAAATGACAGAGATACGACTGTGTACAAGGTAGCCTTCATGTGGAACCAGACAGATGGGCTCCCCAATCGGGAGAGTAACCCTGCTCTTGGTACCGTCTACATCTGTCTAGCCATAGTTATCATGACAACCAATGGAATCATCATATTTGTCACTGTCCAGTCAAGGCATCTTCAAATTCCAACGCTTCATATTTTGACGGGCATTGGCGTGACTGCTTTTGTGTCGGGACTGCACCTGATTTTGTATGACGTTCCACTGACATTTTTTTCCCATTTGACATGTGACAATGTGTTCATCTCTTTCGGAGGATTCCTTGCAGCTCTTCTGCATTCATTTAACATGTTCCAGGTCATGTTGGCGGTGCTTGATCGCTACATTGCTGTGTGTCACCCTCTCCGTTACACGACATTCTTCTCCGGGAGAAACATCCTATGTGCCATGTTGGCGTCTGTGGGGCTGTGCTTAGCTGTAAATGTCCCCATGGCTGTAGTTTCACGGGGAGGGCGTGAATTAGATGGCTTCCGATGTGTTCCCGCGCGATCAAACCAGTATTTCAGCCAACTGTACGTTGCTGTGATAGTTGCTGTTCCGGTTTGTGCCATGGCGTTCTCTTTGATACAAATATGCAGAGAATTCAAACGTCGTATCGTTCCCGCAACACCAATGAAATTTCCATGGCTGATCACGTGTTTCCTGGCTTGGGGAACGATGTGTTACCTGCCCTCAATTGTCGTGTTGTTCTTCGATTTGGCTCCCTCAGATTCCTCCATAAACTATAGTTTGAACATGCTTCGGCGATTAAGCTGCTTCATGAATATCTTCATATTTACTGGAACATTCAAACCGTTTCGTGAGCAGGCTTGTCGGATCTTCTGTCCTTCATACAATCGACGTCAGCGTCAAAACAGTGTTCTGAGAGCTTTACAGGAACACCGACGTTTTGACAACACCAGCCTCCACACCGCAGACGTCAGCGTCAAAACAGTGGACGGAGAACTTTACAGGAACACCGACGTTTTAACACCAGTCTCTACACAACAGCCGTCAGCATCAAAACAGTGTACTGAGAGCTGTACAGGAACGCCGACGTTTTAACAACACATCTCTACACAACCGACGTCAGCGTCAAAACAGTCTACGGAGAACTTTACAAGAACACCGACGTTTAAACAACACGTCTCTACACAACAGACGTCAGCGTCAAAACAGTGTGCGAAGAGTTGTACAGGAACACTGACGTTTTAACAACACGTCTCTACACAACAGACGTCAGCGTCAAAACAGTGTACTGAGTTTTGTACAGGAACACCGACGTTTTAACAACACGTCTCTACACAACAGACGTCAGCGTCAAAACAGTGCAAGGGTGCAGCGCAGGAATGCCGACGTTTTAACAACACGTCTCTACACAACCGACGTCAGCGTCAAAACAGTGTACTGAGAGCTGTACAGGAACACCGACGTTTTAACAACACGTCTCTACACAACAGACGTCAGCGTCAAAACAGTGCAATGGTGCAGCGCAGGAACGCCGACGTTTTAACAACACGTCTCTACACAACAGACGTCAGCGTCAAAACAGTGTACTGAGTGTTGTACAGGAACACCGACGTTTTAACAACACGTCTCTACACAACAGACGTCAGCGTCAAAACAGTGTGCGAAGAGTTGTACAGGAACACCGACGTTTTAACAACACGTCTCTACACAACAGACGTCAGCGTCAAAACAGTGCAAGGGTGCAGCGCAGGAATGCCGACGTTTTAACAACACGTCTCTACACAACCGACGTCAGCGTCAAAACAGTGTACTGAGAGCTGTACAGGAACACCGACGTTTTAACAACACGTCTCTACACAACAGACGTCAGCGTCAAAACAGTGCAATGGTGCAGCGCAGGAACGCCGACGTTTTAACAACACGTCTCTACACAACAGACGTCAGCGTCAAAACAGTGTACGGAAAACTTTACAAGAACACCAACGTTTTAACAACACCAGTCTCTACACATCAGACGTCAGCGTCAAAACAGTGCAAGGGTGGAGCACAGGAACGCCGAAGTTTTAACAACACATCTCTACACAACAGACGTCAGCGTCAAAACAGTGTGCGAAGAGTTGTACAGGAACGCCGACGTTTTAACAACACGTCTCTTCACAACAGACGTCAGCGTCAAAACAGTGTACTGAGTGTTGTACAGGAACACCGACGTTTTAACAACACGTCTCTACACAACAGACGTCAGCGTCAAAACAGTGCAAGGATGGAGCGCAGGAACGCCGACGTTTTAACAACACGTCTCTTCACAACAGACGTCAGCGTCAAAACAGTGCAAGGGGGCAGCGCAAGAACGCCGACGTTTTAACAACAGGTCTCTACACAACCGACGTCAGCGTTTAGTTAGTATACGGAGGGGATTACATGAACACCAACGAAGGAAACAATAATGTGCAGGTTCAAGAACATTTAACATTCTTTCGTCAGTTTTAACTCCTCCAGTGAAGTGGTCGAAAGTTTCATGTACAAGATACAAAGTGGGAACATTATGATCACGTGGTCAAAACATAACATCCAGTTTCTTTCTTTGCTGTCCTTGGATACGATTTCTTTACGATCTACAACGGAAGATACAATTTTAGGATGTACAGTTGATGCAGTGTGGTAAATATATATCATGTAAATACTGAAATCATACATTCGAGTGATGCATTTATTTGTATTGAAATGAATGCCCTTCAATTCTCCTCCGTGCTCCAGTGGTAGAGCGTCCGCCCGGAGAGCGGAAGGTCGGGACTTGGACCCCGACAGCGTCATACCAAAAGACGTTAAAAGATGGTACTTGTTGTTTCCCTGTCTGGCGCTCGGCATTAAAGGGCTAAAACAAGGACTGGTCGGCTTGGAGTCAGTATACTGTGTCTGAGTGGGGTATTCATGTTAAACTGCGGCATGGTATCTCAGTTGGCTAGCACTATAAATCGGCATCACTCCGGACTAGTACAAGCAGCCACACACACACACACACACACACACACACACACCACACACACACACACACCCACACACACACGCACACACACACCACACACACACACACACACACACACACACACACACACACACACACACACGCACGCACGCGCGCGCACGCACACACACACACACACACACACACACACACTTCACCTCACCTCAGTTCTCCATGTGGAGTGTGCACAATACACATGTGAATGTATATAGAAAGGGGCTTCAGACATTGTACCCATTTGGGGAATCCAACCCGTGTCTTTGGCGTGACGAGCGAACGCTTTAACCACTAGCCTACCCGGCCGCTCCTTTTGTCCATTGGAAAATCAAAGCTGTCGTAATGTGTTCAATGCCATGTGGGGATTCTGGGTCAGAATAGATCTCAAGCACCCAAATGAGCTGTTGTTGATACCAGACGATCCAGTGATTAACATCATGAGCATCCAGCCACGAAATGGGGATACGATTACGTGCATCAACCAAGTCGGCGAGCCTGGCCTAATTCCATCGCTTCAGTTTCGAAATACTACATAAAAAACATCAACATGTATTCATATACAACTAAATTTTGTAAAGTAGGAATGAACTGTTACATATTCTTTCAAGAGTTGCCAATGAGATAAAAACATCATTCGCAACAAATCCGGGCCGCTTGGGCATGACCTTCACCTCTCCTTTCTCATCCAGGATCAGCGCTCCGTCAGTCCAAGCGTTATACATATTGTTCGGCTATGCACAATAATGTTCTTATTGTAGCCTAACTGTTTTTAGTTTTGATTTATTATATCGCAGAATAGAATCCCCAATCTCATTGTTAATGTCATCTCACCATGTCTACAGATTTACTGTCGCCCACGTGTTGCCGTCCACACGCGGCAATTACTAATTTAGCTAATTTTGCCCGTCCGATCTCATAAATCGCCAAGGAATTTGTAGCCGTACACTAACATATTTTATATATATATTAACGTACTGGAAAACGTGTTTCATCTTTAATCTAGAGGCGTATAAAGACAATAAATTGATTCACTGCAAATCATGTGAAAAGTGAAGGACTAGTAAGGCATATTTCATTCCAAATATGTTTGCACATTATGCATGTTGATAACTCGTTGAGTATGTTTGTTGCGTCTCATTTGAAACAGTCATTGTCCTAATTTTATTTCCTTATTATGTATTTGGTCAAAAGACACTTGATAAGATTAGCAACTACGTTAATAGGTCTTCAGCAACCCATACATGCGTGTCATTAGAGGCGACTATGCTTGTCCTAAGAGGCGACTAACGGGATCGGGTGGTCAGGCTCGCTGACTTGGTTGATACATGTCATCGTATCCCAATTGCGTGGATAAATGCTCATGATGTCAGTCACTGGATTGTCTGGTCCAGGCTTGATTATTTACAGACCACCGTCATAAAGCTGGAATATTGCTGAGTGCGGCGTTAAACAACAAACAAACAAACAAACAAATCTGACTGACAATAGAAGCTGTTCACTTTTTTTGTGTATCAACGCATTGTTATATTCTACATATAATTTTCAGATGATTCAAAAACAAAACAAAACATGAACTCTTAATATATATATCTTACTGTCGTTTGTACATTTATGCATATCTTCATGTCTGATATATTGGTATCGCTTCCGTCTACACCTTGTTAAATATATTTGTTGGTTTAGAAATATCCTTGATGATCTTCTAAGATTGATATTCTAAGATTTGATATCACGAAATGTTCCAAATTTATGTTAAGAAAATCATAAAGTTTGGAAAGTATTCATTTGGAGGTATCTGAATATTGATTTTTTTTCCCATTTCATTTTTTTTAGAACCTTAATGTTTAAATACGTTACTTTTTTAGAATCAGCTCATTTGCATATTTAGATACATTTCCAAGGCATGAATTTTAGCTATGTTCATTTCCGCATGGAAATTCATCAAGTCATTTTTATGTTTAAGTATTCATTTGGAGGTATCTGAATATTGATTTGGTTTCCCATTTCATTTTTTTAGAACCTTAATGTTTAAATATGTTACTTTTTTAGAATTAGCTCATTTGCATATTTAGATACATTTCCAAGGCATGAATTTTAGCTATGTTCATTTCCGCATGGAAATTCATCAAGTCATTTTTATGTTTAAGTATTCATTTGGAGGTATCTGAATATTGATTTGGTTTCCCATTTCATTTTTTTAGAAACTTAATTTTTAAATACGTTACTTTTTTAGAATTAGCTCATTTGCATATTTAGATACATTTCCAAGGCATGAATTTTAGCTATGTTCATTTCCGCATGGAAATTCATCAAGTCATTTTTATGTTTAAGTGTACTGCGTACTCCTTACTCTTGATATAGGTCGAACGTAATTTATTAACTTTTTCATACTATAAATAAGGAAATAAGGAAATCAGTGTGTGTATATGACATTCATTACGTATTACTGTATATATACTTTGGAAACACAGTGTGTATATATGTGCATTCGCTGTCGTGAGTGGATTTGCTGGATAACACGACTGCGCATGACCAGAGACTGGGCTACCGTCTGTAAGGACATCGTAAAGAAACTTTGAGGCAATATCTATACGCATTTCTGAACACTGATTGATTACCCGTGATCTATGAAGATTTCGATATCACAAAGGACGCACGTTAATTAATTTCTCCACCCAAACAAAAAGACGAAAAGAACGATGATGACAGATTGATTTGGATCCCATTTGTGTTTCGACGATATCTCTCATCTCATCATGTACTAATGCTGTGTCAATAGACCAGTGATATTCAAACTAAACATTTGATTTGAGGCGGACAAAGAAACCCCATTTTGCCATTGCAAACGGTTGTTGTAATACTTTCGACCATCGGGATGTAAACTGAAAAAGAAGATAAAGTCATCAATACCCCCCGCCCTTTTAAACAATGTCTATATATAATTTACTTCATTATAACAAAAAGGGTTTGTACATGTACAACTGACATAATGACACATGACTAAACCGATAAATGAAATCCTAATTTGAACCTCAGCTCAACTTGTTAAATCTCAAATAATACGCAGTTTCAAGCTTGACCTTGGGCGTGAGCTTAGCGACATCAACGGGCACTGGCACTGTTTACCGCTAGGTGGCGTTTGCACTGTTGCATGGCAACGGTTGTTAAGACTCTCCGCCATATGTAAACCGGTAATGGTAAGGCGGACTGGCGCAGTTGCAGACTTCATTTTGTGTAGGTAAACTGTCAAGACAAAAACAGCAAAAATGTCGGATATGGGATCTGAAGAGATGGAGGAGGAGCAGGGGCCTTATTTAGGCGTAAGTTTTCTTTCATCGTAATTATTTCATATGTCGATTTGATCAACCGTTATGCGTTAGTCATTCAGTTTTCGCGCACTGATTTACCGACACACTTTGTTTGTTATATTGCATTATCAGCTACCAGTTTAGTAGAGGTTTCTTTTTTCACATACACGTAGGGAAAGGCGTTTTATTTTTTAAGGTATTGTAACGCTTACTTTAAACAGTTATTTACTTCTTAATAATTTTATAACAACAATGTCAAGCCCAGATATCGCCGAACGTAGCAACCAATGTGCGACAAAAAAATGAATGTGTTGGTGACCCATACTTTTTAGCTATTATGCTAACAATAGTACAGGCAGACCTAATGCTCATTTTCAAGGATATTCTATGAGGACGTCCTAACAAACTTATAAACATCTATGTTTGCGCAAAACTTCCCAGGCATCAAACATACCATACATTACCTTGCGGTAGGTACTGTGGTCGAGGAGTATACTCTAGGGCTAAAATGGTTGTGTTTTTATCAAAGAGTTCTCCCTGATTTTTCGAAAAGGACATTTAGTGGTATTATTTTCAGCAGTGCTTACTATACCTAAATATGTTTCATTAGACTTCGTGCATGTGGCTAAGGTCAATTTGTGTAGTTGACATGCAGAGTAGTTTCGGTATCAACTATAATAACTTTAATGCAAATATCAGTACTTGTTACTAAGTAGTATGATGCATATTGTGATACCGTACACATACATTATACCGTAATCCTATCCTCCATGTTTGTTTTATCCAACTAAAAAGTGCACGCAACAGCATCATAACTTTCAATATAGGGTGATAAGGCTAAAAATAAGCAGAAAAATTACCCTGCTTGCATTTGTATGGTTTAATATGATTAATCCTTGATATTGAATATCAAAGCGATGCATAAACGTAAACAAATGGACGAAAGTACTTGAAAATAGAAGTTCCATAATCATAAATGGCAACATTTCGGCGAATACGTATTTTGCATCTAGTTTGGTAATTAAACATTTACTTACGAAAGTATTTAATTCAGGCTGTTGAGTGGGGGCTCAAGCCCCCAAACCCCTGTTTTCTTAACAGGGCAACAAAAATGGCGTCTGAAAGACCTTGGGCCAAACTTAGAAACCATTACTATGGAGTGAGTGGGTTAAAATTTAACGTCGCATCAGCATTATTTCAGCCATATAGCGACCGTTACGATGGAATGAACTCATGCACATCCCTGACTAAAATGGCAGGTGTCTGCTATACTGCATTATTGCTCATGATACTTCATTTTAATACTACCATGTACATAACATACACCTTATGTTACACAGGAGTATGAAGGAGGGCGTAATGAACGCGAGGAACGCCATGGACATGGCAAGGCCACTCTGCCCAATGGTGATACATACGAAGGAAACTACGAAAATGGAAAGCGCCATGGACAGGGAGTGTACAGGTAAAGGAATTATTGTTGCTGCAACCAGCCTGCGCAAATTCAGCATAAATTGACGTTTATTTGAAGTAACTAAGCTAAATAGACCTTGTGATATATTTTTATATACAATCAGGTGATAACTTTATGTACTTTGATGTGCATGTTTGTTTTTCTTTCTTTGTTTCATGCTACACTCAGCAATAAGCCAGCTATATGACAGCGACAATATAGTCATACGTGTATCAAAACATTCAAATATACTCAGCAAACATTTATAATAGATCAGAACAGATCTTATTATTGCATAAACAAACATCTGTGTTGTCTTCAGCATCCCATGCTTGCCTAAAAGGTGACTGTTTGTCGTAAGAGGCGACTGACGGGATCAGGTGGTCAGGTTTCTCAATTACGTGGATCGATGCTCATGATGTCAATCACTGGATTGTCTGGTCGAGGCTTGATTAATTGCAGACCGCTGTCATATAGCTGGAATATTGCTGAATGCTGCTTTAAACAACAAACAAACATGACCAAAAAATACTGGTACTGAACTGTCTTCAAGCAAATGATGTTCTTATATTCGAGTGAAAACCATAAATAAATCTTGCTAAACATGTGAGTCAGGCGATTGTGGTGGTTATTTTTTGGAAAATGTTTATCTGTATTTTTCTTCGTGTACTGACAGGTTTAAGAACGGTGCCCGATACATTGGAGAATATGTCAAAAACAAGAAACATGGCCAGGGAACATTCATTTACCCTGATGGCTCGAAATATGAAGGTAAAGTTATATAAAAACAAAGACTATATTGTATGTGTTCTGTATAATTAATGTCTTTTTATTTCCAATGATTTTGTTTTTCTAAATAACCATATTTGACTATTTTCTTGGTTTCCTTGTCTAAAGCCAAATCTCAGTACTAAATATTGCAGTTCTAAACATAGTGTAGGAGGTACTAATACCTTACCTTGCACACAGTGATCTTAGCATGAAAGCTATTGTGTGTCCTGGGTTACATCAAGTCGTTCTCAGACAGGTCTACATCAAATGCAGAGCTCCAGATAAGCTGCATATCTGCGTAAAATACGCATCAGAAATGCAGAAATGCGCAGTAAAATAAAATCCAAGCATATCAAATATGCAACGAACATTACAGATACGCTATAACAATAAAACTTGTGCGTATTATAAAAATATTGCGAAGTAACCCTGCGTATTCGATACGCAAATCAGCAACTTATTTTGAAATTATAAACGGGCATTCCGTCAACCTTGCCAAACTCCATGATGACAGTTACATCATGATCATTTGCCATCACACTTTGCTTGTCATAAGAGGCTACTAACAGGATCGGGGATCAGGCTCACTGACTTGGTTGATGCATGTCATGATATCCCAATTGCGTAGATCAATGCTCATATCAATCACTGGATTGTTTGGATTACAGATGGCCGTCATATAGCTGGGATATTGCTGTGTGCGGTGTTAAACAACAACAAAATAAATCATAGATGATGCTCCTATTGTAGACATAGATTCCAAAGATTTAAAAAATATAAATTTTCGGATCCAACCATATATTTCCAGGGTTCCTAAAAAATAATAATTTAAAGCATCTAAAAAACCTCTTGTGTGATCACAGGCAGTTGGGTGGAGGATCAAAGATGTGGATTTGGCAAATACTTCTACGTGAACGGCGACACCTACGAGGGTGAATGGCAGAAACACGTGCGTCACGGCCAGGGCACGTACACCTACGCTGCCACCGGTTCACGCTACGTCGGCACATGGATGGACGGGAAGAGGGATTGCCATGGAGAACTTGTCCACGCTAACCACAAATATGTGGGTACATTCAAAGAAGACAGGGTGAGTTGTGAAAAAACAGCAGTGTGGAAAATCTATGCCCAACTTGCCGACTAGTGCGATCGTCAGACAAAAACAAAATCATGTCAGTTCGACCTAGAACTGCCTTAAGTTGACCCTAAAGCAGACCTCTTGTCACAAGACTTGACTATTGATGAAAGGGTTGTCCCAGATGGCACGGATTGTTGCCCATTTTATCAATCACGCATTTGTTTTCATGTTATCGATCACTGGTTTGTTTGCTAACTTTGATTACTGACAGGCCATCATTAAGCTGGAATTCTGCTGTCTGTGATGAAAACAGTATTCACTCACTTACATATTGAGATGCCAATTAAAGGGTTCAATCACATATTGTCACAGGCACTTCAGAATACAGTCAAACCATTAAAATAGGTGACTAGGTTTGGAGATTTTAGAGAAATGTCTGATTGTCTTGAGGATTGTTTGCAGTCAAGTATATGTCACTTTCACATTTTCAGATGGAGGGGAAAGGAAAATACGTCTTTGATATTGGCTGTGAGCAGCACGGAGAATACATCCCCATCGAACAGGTACATAGACGATAGGGCTGGGACGAGTCCAAATTTACTACCCGGGTGCCCACCCCCCTATTACTCGACCCTACCCGGGTACCCACTGTTGGTCTCAGGAGATGTCTCAAAATGTCTGATTGGGAACATTTTTAGCATAGCCATGGCAAAACGTATTTAGATACATGTATTAAACAATCTGGTCATTTATACACTGAAGTTGAATGAATTTACATTTTTATTCAACCATATGAAAAATCAGAAGGAAAGGGTACATAGTCGGAAAGAAATGCGAACATTAGTGACTTGTAGTGTAACCATAGAGTTCAAGATAATTTTAGTCATTAACCAATATATCATGTGACTAACCACGGGTCCGGGTAGTCCTGTGGGTACCCGGGTCCTACTCAGTACCCACCCGACCGAGGTACCCGAGTTACCCGTCCCAGCCCTTATAGACGATACTGCAGTTCACATGTTGGGAGTCAATATTTGATAGCAAAAAAGATTGTTGGATAATTATTAAGATGATGTATCACAAACTGATGACAGTACCTACCCATGAATCAAAGTTTTATATTAAATTTTTTATTGATTTTCAAAAAGGATTGTTTACAAAGTTTTACAATAACGGCAATACCCTACACTTTTTCATAAAACAAAATCCTAAATAATTGAATGAAACCTTTAGAATGTGACTTAAACACAAAGTGGTTGACAGCAACTACTTCTTGTTCGCCAGGCCACTTGACCACGGGGAACTTACTCCACAGGTGTATACGCAACATTCCACCATCACCAGGAGTAGGTCCGATAGTTTTTCAGATATTGTAGTAAACGTCGGTACCTTAAATTACCTTCCAGACTTTATATACGCAACGTTCCACCATCACCAGTGAATACTTACAGCCGACTTGTTGCGTTGTCCAAGTTTGTAACCATAGAAACGAGATATTTCCTGATTCCAGTGAGTGCTCAGACCAAAGGGCACCACATTTGACCTTCCCTATGCATTGCAAAGATCATGCACACAGTAGGGCTGACGTCTGTGAGGTATAAACTGCAGACATCACTCCCATGTTGCAAAGTGGTTGTGTGTATTAACGTCCCCTGGAGATTCCACATTAGAATTTGTCTCCAGCCACCTATGCTGGTCGTACGAGGAGACTGAATGGATCGCATGGTCAGGCTCGGTGATAGTATGTGATCATAAACTATGGGGTGTTGCTCGTAATATAAACGGGTGGTCAGGGACGCTGACTTTGTTGATGCATGTCATCGAATACCAATTGCGTAGATCGATCCTCGTGATGTCAATCTCTGGATTGTCTGGTCCAGAATATTGCTGAGTGCACACAAACTCAAAGAAACAACCAACAAACTGTATGTATTCACCAGTGATGATAGAGAGCATGTTTACAAACAATTGACGATGTAGGTACTGTAGATGGTAAACTGATGCTGATGTGTCGTGCAGGAACGTGAGGACAAGGTTGATGAAGAGGAGACTCAGGCTAACATCATCCCAAAGTGGAAGGCTGGTCCGGTTACTGCCATCCATCTCCGCACGGAGGAAGAAGAGGAGGAAGAAGAGACAACCCAGACCGGGGAGGCCAGCACGGAAGGGGAGCAGGCAGCGGCCGGTGGGGAGACGCAAGGTGTGTAGAGATTCCATCGGAGTCATCTCATCTTCTGCATGTCCTATTCATTATTACTATTACTATTACTATTACTTTTACTATTACTTTTACTATTACTATTACTATTACTTTTACTATTACTATTACTATTACTTTTACTATTACTATTACTATTACTATTACTATTACTTTTACTATTACTTTTACTTTTACTATTACTATTACTATTACTATTACTATTACTTTTACTATTACTTTTACTATTACTATTACTATTACTATTACTATTACTTTTACTATTACTTTTACTATTACTATTACTATTACTATTACTTTTACTATTACTATTACTTTTACTATTACTATTACTATTACCATTACCATTACCATTACCATTACCATTACCATTACCATTACTATTACCATTACCATTACCATTACTATTACCATTACTATTACTATTACTATCATGTGTGAATTACCATTACCATTACTATTACTATTACTATCATGTGTGAATGGCTAATGGTTGATATCTACTAGGGCCTCGTTACACTAAGATATCGTGTTACTGCAACCACCGTAAGTCCCATAGACTCTGTCCGTGCCCAAAACATTTTAAGTCTACCAGCTCAAACCTGTCACTTGATGTCATTTTCAGTAAATTTTAATGTTAATGTATGGACTTTTATTAGAAAAGCTTACTGGGCCGAAAGAAATTTTACTGACTCGGGTTTTGGACTAGTGACTAAAGTCACAGACTGTAGACTTCCGATAGTCAAAGATCGAAGATTGCTTCGAGGGAAACAGGACAATCTTAGCACTAAATATATTATACAGCGTTAGAAACTAACTGTTTCAGTCCACTAATCCTTATAATGTTAACATATAGCAAAATCCATAAGAATGGCCAATTTCTACTAGTCCTCATGATACCTTAACTATTGGGCAGATTGGCAAGGCGATGGGACTAGTGCCAATTTTTAACGCTGATACAACTCCCGTACTTTTACATGGACACACAGTTGTTGCAGTGCGAAGATTGGTTTGTGCAAGTGGGCCATGTAATATTTGGGGGTGAAATTTTCATTGAGTTATAAAATAGAACTAGTCCACGTTTCATTTGAAATTTTTGGATTGCCACACTGTTGTCCTATTCACTACTTCAGTTCGTCTTGAAAGTCACTGATTCTGTTTACAAGGGCGTCCATACATAAATGTATTCCCTGATGAGTAAAATACTGGAATACAGTATTGGACTACCGTGGGGCTTGGAATATTTAAGGATTATTATTTTTTATTTTTTTTAAATTGAAATAAGAACGAAACGTGCGGCGAACTTTATGATGATGCGGGCGGTGTCTGAGAACCAAGACTATTCTTTTTTTTAGCCATATGAATGATCTCCACAAAGCTTAAAAATATGAAACAATTGGTTCTCAGGCTTTTGAAAATATAGTGCGGGCGGGCGGGCGGTGAACCAAGACTATAATTTTTTATAGCCTTACATAGATACTTTCTGGAGGGAATAAAAATAAAAATGAAGGGTATTTTAACCTGTTAAATGTTTAGACATATCAATATGATTGACACACTGAAAACGTTATTTCTTCACCACCGAGTCTCCTTTAACGTTCTCAAAAGACCCGTTTTGGTGGTAGGTTATGACAAGCAATCCCTTTGATTTATGTAGGATTCCAAACTAAGCACCCTTTGCAGGAATTTTTGAGAAAAAAAAACGTGATTTTCTGAAACTAGAATTTTCTTAATGTTCTTATATACGTAATTCCAGAGGAATTGGGATTTTTTTTATTTAAATTGGGAATTTGTACTGACATATGCTGCAGACTTGAGGCCTCTGAGCTGATCTAAATACATGTATATCCCTACAAGCCACAATTTTTCATCCTTGATTTCCAACACCGTCTATCATCTCATCCTTCCAATATAGTATCACTGATTGCCCATATAACCATCTGTTAAACTACTATCATGTTTCTTCACAGATTTGTAATATAAAGGTATGGTGTCTGTTGTGCATGTTGTTCAGCTATCGTATTTTATTTTTGAAATATGTCTATTTTATTTCAGTTCTTTCCATGTCCATGCGCCCAAAATTTAGAGTCGTTTAGATCAAAACTTAGATTAAACCCTTACTGTAAACCCCAATATTATTTGCTTGCTTGTTTGCTGTAACGCCGCACCCAGCAATATCCCAGCTATATGACAGCGGTCTGTATGTAATCGAGTCTGGACCAGACAATCCAGTGATTGACATCATGATCATCGATCCACGCAATTGGGATCGATGACATGCATCAACCAAGTCAGCGAGCCTGACCACCCGATCCTGTTAGTCGCCTCTTACAACAGGCATAGTCGCCTTTTACGGCAAGCATGGGTTGCTGAAGCCCTTTTCTACCCCCATCTTCACGGGTCCCAATATTCAGAGAGTTGGGTGTAACTCCTCTCTGAACTGTATTTCAGTTACATCACAATGTGTCAGCTTGATGTGGGAGGAAATCCAGATCGAGAGTTGATGTACAGAGATTTATTTATTGATTGAATGGGTACCCAGTAGGATGAGATGGTAATGTGACAGTTAACCTTCAAGTGCCTCAAAGCTGCTTCGGTTGTATATTCCTCAGGTACACTGATCCTTTGACCAGGGTAATAATGCAGCACTTTGAGTATGCTTTAGGATGTAGATTATTAAATATAAATATGCACATTATTAAAGAGAATGGGTCAGTTGACTTCCAGAACAACTATAGCATTTTTTAAGTAAGAACATCAGTCATTATCATCAGTTATTGTTGAGATGTTTTAAGCATTGTTTACAAAATGTTTTTTGACAAATGTTGGTATAAATCTTCGTATTTGTGTCCTCCCTTCCGCTGGTGCTATTTATTGTATCTTCAGCAAACAGTTAGATCTGTTCTCAGATGCATTGCTTTAATGTGTAAGCTGAAGCACTTGGTTTCACTATTGTCTGTCTGAACGTGCAAGCTTGGCAAACCTTTTTCAGAATGTTGATAACCAAAAATGAATTGAAAATACTGTACAGTCATCAGTTGAAGAATGTTTCCAGTTGTAAAATTTATTATGGGGCGTAATGCAATTTTCACTCAACTGAAACCAATCATTAATTTTCTTCCTGGTTCGATCAATGGAAAAACTATCATATTGAAAGTAATTTTTTTTGCTCTTTCTGAATTAGGCATTATTCAATTCTTAAGTGTTGTTCTGATATAACATTGTTCAGGAAGCTCTAAGCGTGTACACTTGCTTTCTCATATACTGAACATGTTCTTTTTCAGATATGTAAATGTTTTTGTTGTACCCAATTTAACATATTTTAGGTGACCCAAACCCCATAATTATTTCAATTCAAATTTTTCAGGTGAGGGTGAGCAGGCTGAAGCAACTGCTGAGCAGACGGGCGAGACTCCAAGGGAGACAACTCCAGGTGGGGAACAACCTGCAGACCAGGAAAAAACTGAGGAGCCAACAACAGGTGGGGAACAGAGTGAGACACAGGAAGAGGGAACAGCAGAGGAGACAGAAGGAGAACAACAGGCGGAGGGGGAACAGGCAGAAACTACTGAAGATGCTGAAGCAGCTGACTGAACTCCCTGAGGGGAGTCATAGACAATTTTGTAACCTGGGAAATTGGCATGAGAGAAAGTCTGCTGAAACTGCCACTGGAATAATTTCATTACGTAAATATATCAACTTATCAAAAAGATATTCATTCATCTGTTGACAGGCATTGAAAGTTGAATTTAGGACATCATTTTTTTATTTTTTTATTCTTTTATTCTTTGACATAACGCCAAAATAGGTTTAAACAGCATTATATCAGTATTTCTGCGGTCTAAAGTTTAGGTCATGAGTTCAATTCCCTTCAATCTCCTATTTCCTATTTTGTGACGCATCATTCCCCTTGCTGTCTGTAGGTTTGCTGGGTCAGTTGGACCCTAAGGTTTAGGTGTCTCTACCTGCTGGCCTTGTGTAACATATTCATTATTATTCATGTAACATAATGTTTATTATTAATAAAACCATGTTTGAGAAAACATTTGTGTATTGTTTTCTTTTCAATAGTTAAGTGGTTGTCCATCCCTTTGCTGAAAGTTCAGTGTATAACCACTCACAGAACCATAGCCAAACACAATTACAGTCAAACCCTGTAAAGCTCGATGAAACCAGTCCCAATAAAAACAAAGAGTTTGCCACAAACGTGGCTATATCCCCCGCCCCTGTTGCAGAATTTATGACATAATTAAATCTAAACAAACCCTAACTTTTTTTTAACTGAGGTGGAACTTGTCATGGAAATTGTAAAAAAAAAAAGAGTTTGGAACCTAAGTCCATCTTGTTGCCATGGAAACGTAGAAAAATAAAAATTTCTAAAATTTCTAAATAGCAAAAGGCACCAGTTCAGCATGTACCTGACAAACCTGCAAAGTTTCATGAAAAAATATTGAACGGTTTATGAGTTATGCTCTGGAAACGAAACAAGATGGATGGACGGAGCCTTTTTCTATATCCCCCACCAACTTTGTTGGGCAAGGGATAATTATCCGGATTAACAAATGTGACCAACCATGAGATAGGGACTGACTCCGAGCCAATCGGTCTTGTCTCATCCCCTTAATTCAGAGAGCCAGACAGAAGTTCTATCCACTACACCACAAAGGCGGTCCTCAAAGTATGAAGAGATGGACCCAAGGCCATGGCGAAGATCCCTGAGTATCTGACACTATTCATGAGATAGGGACTCCGAGCCAATCAGTCTTGTCTCATCCCCTTAATTCAGAGAGCCAGACAGAAGTTCTATCCACTACACCACAAAGGTGGTCCTCAAAGTATGAAGAGACGGACCCAAGGCCATGGCGAAGATCCCTGAGAATCTGACACTATTCATGAGATAGGGACTCCGAGCCAATCGGTCTTGTCTCATCCCCTTAATTCAGAGAGCCAGACAGAAGTTCTATCCACTACACCACAAAGGCGGTCCTCAAAGTATGAAGAGATGGACCCAAGGCCATGGCGAAGATCCCTGAGTATCTGACACTATTCATGAGATAGGGACTCCGAGCCAATCAGTCTTGTCTCATCCCCTTAATTCAGAGAGCCAGACAGAAGTTCTATCCACTACACCACAAAGGCGGTCCTCAAAGTATGAAGAGACGGACCCAAGGCCATGGTGAAGATCCCTGAGAATCTGACACTATATGAATCTTATAGCATGTTCGAAAGTCATAATATAAGTTGCAAGGGTGCTTCATTAACAGTGCTTAAAAATGTGGGGGCAATTTTAGGTTTGTGCAGGTCATGAGAATAAAAAAAATCTTTTCAGTAGTCCCTCAGCATGCAGAGATAAGAAGTTGCTTAAAAAGTTCAAGACCCACAAACAAAGTTAACTGCATAAATTGTTTATTTTCTCTAAATATTACAATGCATCATATTAATGAAAAAGTACCCTGTAAAAAGTTAAAAGTAACTGAAAACACAAGATAAAATCCTAAAGACAAATATAAAATAGACATTCACAACAATTTTTTAACTCTTGTGATACACAGCATTACAGCAGTGTAAACTTGGACCAAAACAGAACACTGGGTTTTGTGTATACAAACAACATACTCCTTTCGTACACCAAATAGAAACACAAAACATCTTTCTTGATTAATTCAGTTTCTATTTCTGAAACATATTCTGACTTTGTCCACTTGAGAACAGGGATGGAAATTAACAATCGCCCATAGGCCCGAGGCTAGTAGAAATGACCTTGGTCTATTAAAATGATAATTCTACAAGCCTGGAGGGCCTGTAAGTTTTTTGACATGCTGTAAATTTCATATCGTCCTCTTAATTCACCTTGACAAATCACTGTGCTGGACAATCAGCACAACCTTTCAAGTCTCCAAAGTCTTGATGAGTCTTAATGAGTGAGTGAGTTTGGTTTAATGCCACTTTGAACAATACTTCAGTTCTATTTTTGCAGGTTAGATTGATGTTGGAGGAAAGCCCAAAGTGATGCAGGTCATAGACGGCCACCACTTTGGTGAAACACGGTGATGGTGGGGATAAACCTAGTAACAATCTAGGATCTGAACCCATGATCATAGGTGTCTGGCACGCCAAAGGGATGCAATTCTGCACTGTGAATTGCAGTGCCTTTGACAACAGGGACATATGTGGCCTGTTCTTATAAGTTGATTTTTCCACAGTGGGAATCTGACTCTAAACAACTTACAAGTTTTATCGGACCTTATTGTTGCACCGAAGCTACCTGAAACATTACATGTGATGTAAAGGGTTTGCACAAGTTTGAAAAGGCCTTGAATTTCGAGTCTGCTTGAAAAGACATTAAAAATGTACTTTCCTATGCAATCACCAACTCAAATAATTATCTGAAGTGTGTGGAAAAGAGATTGTCTGAAATACAAGGAAACTACCTGTATTTGAATATGGTCTATTTCTACTCCGCAACCATACTTACATCCCTTCATATATAAGTAAATTTGTAAAGCCTTGAGTTTTTGGAGAGACTCAAAAAGGCATATACCGTATTTGATGTAATAAGTGCCCAGGGCGCTCTCAAATTAGAAATAGGGGGCTCTTATTAGAATATTATTTTGGTGAAAAAAACAGTTGAAAGATAAATTTCATGATTTATGCTGACAGACTGAAACGTGTAAATACGACAAATATTTTTCCAGAATTTAATTGCCCATAATAAAGGAAGCATATAACACACGAGTGTGTATTATACACAAATAAATAAGTCTTGTGTACATTGATCAGTCGGAAGGGGTGCTAATTGGGATTGTTCACTTACCAATATATTAGCAAATATCACCGTCTGGTCACCTTTGAAAGCCTACTAGTAACAAGCATGAAATACTCACATCCCCCGCCAATATGACATGTCAGGTGTGTGCAATGCATTAGCTCCTGTGAACTATGTTCACTGGGCCTTTTTGTAAAGAAATATAGTACGTTTTTCAAGATCTGCTCCGGAAACGAGGACTACTGCCATTTTCAGTCTAAATCAAAGTTGTTGCCATGGAAACTCGAAAAAATAACTTTTTTTAAAATCCCAAACTATCAAAAGGCACCAGTTCACCACTAGACCTATCTATGTGCCAAGTTTGGTGAAGAAATATGGTACGGTTTTCAAGATCTGCTCCGGAAACGAAATGTGACGGACGGACGGAAGGACAGACGGACAGCACCCATTCCTATATTCCCCCTCCACTTTGTGGTGGGGGGATAATAACAGCAGTTACCTCCCTCTAACAAACAACCACAGGAACTTGTATTTGAAGCAATTGAAAAAAGGAAATAGGTCTGAAGACCAGTAAGTAAATTGCTTCAAACATTTCTACTGACACAGGACTGAGTTAATGAGTTAGCTGGGTGTGTCAGCTTGATGTGGGAGGAAAGCCCAAAGAAATGCAGGTCTTTGCTATATACCACTTTGATGAAACACATAGATGCAAATCTGAATAGGGAATTGCTGTGCCCGGAAAATTTTGAACAACGGATATCACCTCCATATATGACATGACCCTCTTCCGGATATAAGGGAGAGAGTGACTGAGTTGGTTTGAGACATTTTAAACTGCATTTACGTTATAACATTGTGTGTTAGGTTCATAAGGAAGAACTGTCTGGAGTCATGCAAGCCTTTGCCGTTTACCACTTTGGTGAAACCCACGGGCACGATATGTTACAAATTTATCAGGGCCAGGGACTTACCTGAGTCTAACTATTTTGGAGTTCAAGGGACCTTCAGTAACAAATATTTGGGGTCCATGGCATAAATATGTAGGTCCCAAACTGGCAACCTGTGGCACTCTTCACTTGATTTCCATGTTTTTGTTAATGTCATGATGGGAATTCTGAATCTGAAAGTCAACCACTGACACCCTGAACACCCAAGGCTATTTCCTACCAGAAAAGAAATGGCAGTTATGTGAGACATGATTCAACAGTCACACATTCTTGCCACTCACTGTTGTAAGTTTTTTGCATCCATTCACAATTTGAATGCATATAGGACACAATAGTGAGTGAGTTTTATTTTACGATGCTTTTAGCAATATTCCAGCAGTATCACGACAGGGGACACCAAAAATGGGCTTCATACATTGTACCCATGTCAGGAATCGAATCCATGTCTTCGGCGTGACGAGTGATTGCTTTAACCACTAGGCTACCCGACCATCCCTATAGAACACAGTAAATTGTGATGGATAAAACCTGAGGGCAAACCAAGATTTCAGCCCACATTCATAGGTTCCTGGCGTGCCCTAAGGGATGCAACTCTGCACAGCAAATTGTGGTACCATATACCAGGGTATGACTGACGACCCACACCCCCCTTCCGGCTATAAGCTTACAAGCTTTAGAAGAGACTGGTCTTTTACCCCAAAGCAAAATGCTCATCATTGAACATGAAAACTCATTAGATATCTTTGCCTAAACTATGTGACTAGAAGCCATATAAAACTGTGTTTCTCAAAACAGAATTTAATCAATATTACTAGTGTCAGAATGACTTTAAAAATCCAACCACAAAAAATCAAATTTTACATGTGCCATAATCTATGCCAAGTGAATATTTAATAACTTTCACAAGTATTTTAAATACACTACATTTGCTAATTCAAAAAGATAAATCCTTCTAAAAATATGTTTATCATGTCATCAGTAGTCATGCTATGATTTTAATTTGTAGATGTCCAATTTTTTTCAGACTGCACTTCAAAATAGTGTTAAAATATCAAAATTTATTGAATTTATTGTTTAAATTTGATAAATTATATTCACACAAACACAATTTGACACCAAGGAGCTGTCCACAAGTATTCCATACCAAGTCCTCACTGACACTGAATCATGAGAGTAGCAATCTCATTAAAATCAGATCCTAGTTCTCGTTACCGCCAAACAAAGATCTGTGGACATCCCATTACGGGTAACGTCAGACCGACCTTGCGCAAACTTTGACCAACCAATGGATTGACCAATCAGAAGGGAGCTTTCTTGTGCTTTACGGCACCAATTTCAAATTGGCGACTACGCTTCAAAGCTTATTTTGACAAATTCTGATTACAAATTTGAAAGAACATTCTGGAATGGCTAATAGATGATCTAGATTGTATGGATTCAGTCGTTAAACCCGTAAGTATTGTTCCGAATACCCTGTGTTATACATTTCGAGGTAGAAATCACATTCCATTGTCACTTTCAAAATAAGGTAAGCGACGCTCTGATTAGTCGGATGTAAGGTGTTCTGACGCAACCCCTTATGGGATGTCTTCAGATCTTTGTTCAGCGGTAGCGAGAATTAAGGTCTGATTTTAATGAGATTGTGAGAGTAGGGACGTGATTGAGGTTTCATCAGTTCAGAGGAGTTGAGATCAAAGCATTCACATTTGAACAAACACTAGAACTACGACAATTAGAGTTCGACGAAAGGGAAAGGGTTCGAGAGTGTCCGTAAGTCATTACGCATTGTATACTGATGAATTGGGACTTAAATACTGTGATGCTCATCATGTCCTGAAGTATGAAGCTACAGCACTGAGATCGCTGTGTTGAAACCAGGTGCATAGCTGTTCCGAGTGGTGGCGGAAAGTTACCTTGAACAACATCACAGAGATGCTGAAACCCACAGTGATGCAACAGAAATTATAGTTCATCACCATTTGTCTTATATTCTGTTTTATACATCATTCAGATATATTCCAGCCATGACAGCAACCTGTAAATAATGTCATCTGGACCAGACAAACCAGTGAGTTATAAACAACATCCCACCGTTGGGCTTCAATAACACCGAAAGTCACCGAGCCTGATCCCCGTTCCATTTAGTTGCCTTGTACGACAAGCATTGCCAGCTGGGATCAATTCCACCACGGAATCCATATAGGAATACAGGAACATGTTTTAGGGAGTTCAGTTTCTACACCCATGTGCAACCCTGCTCAATTATCACATTAAACACATCACAGAGCCAGCAGGAAACACAATCAGCTCTTGTGTTTCTTCCTCTTCTTTCGATCTGAATGTCTATGATTATGATTTTCCCTAAGTCCATGTCTGCGGGACTTCAACTCTTTTCTGATTGGCTGACGGAAAGTGTTACTTTCAGAAGATTCAGAAGATGAGGAGTAATGGTCTCCATTTTCTCGGAAAGAGTCTTTTTCTCTTTTTCCTTCTTTCCGCACAGGTTCAAAGGAACTGCTCGCTGAGGAGTCAGAGGAAGAATATTTCCGTTTTCTAGGTTCTCGCTCCTGAATCCTGTGGTCCTGATAGTTCCTGTCACTGACTCTGTCCCTCGTGTTGAGAGAGTTGGCAGACTTCGTCCTGAACGATGGTCTGTCCATGTGATCATCCCTCTCCCTCTCAGAGTCACTGTCACTGTGGTGTTTACTCTTGTGTTTCTTCTCCTTTTTCTTCTTCTTTCTCTTCTTTTCTTTCTTTTTCTTCTTCCTGAAATAACAATTCAACTTTTTCAAATAAATCAATATCGTTTTACCCCCCTTTTTTCAATATTCCAACATTATCACATCATGGGACACCAGAAATGAGCTTCATACATTGTACCCCATTGGATTGGGGAATGGTCCCCAGATCACCGGCATGACCAGCAAATGTTCCAACCATTCACCCCGCCCCCTTACTTCAAAATTAACGTTAGAATGAGATGGTTATGGTAATGAAAACATGCAAGTACTAGGGATGGGATGAGTCCAGATTTACTACCTGGGTACCCACACCCCTATCACCCGAACCTCCCCAGGCACCCGCTGTAGGTCTCAAGAGACAGGTACAAAATGTCCGATTGGAAATAATTTGACCATAGCCCTGGAAAAATGTATTTGGATGTACACATACTAATTAAACAATCTGGTCCTGCATACACTGAAGTAGACAGAAGTTTTATCTTTATTCAGACATATAAAAGTCAGAAGGAATGTGTGCATGGTCAGAAAGAAATGCAAACATTAGTGACTTGTAGAGTAAACATGGAGTTCTATATAATTTTTGTCATTGAACAATATATCACGTGACTGACTAACCAAGGGTCCTGTGGGTACCCGGGTCCTACTCAGTACCCACCAGACCCCAGTACCCGAGTTGCCTGTCACAGGCCTACAAAGTACCTAACAGGCAGCTTGTGCTTAATATAGTGGGTAGGAGGTTCCGGCACTTACTTCCTACTCCTTTTCTCTTCCCCTTCAGAGCGGTCGCTGGCGAAGTCATCAGGGTACAGTTCCTTAAATCCACTGTGTCCCCATCTGCACAGAAGACACTTGACATTATAACACATGGCTACACTTCATCTGCCAGCCGTATAACCAGGGTGTGCAAAATCAATGCCCAATTTGTTAAGTGAGATCGTCGGCCAAAAATAAAATCAGCCTTAGTGGAGCATTAATCCTGTGAATTTTGATAAACTTGTAACAAGTACTAAATATAGCTTTGAAGCAGTTTAAACATCACCATCAGGTCTGTCCACCTGATGGCAGTGTATTCCTTACTTACTTGTTCTGATTTGGATCATGCTTGCGGATCCAATCTCTGAATGATAGACTAGATTATCCAACAGTGCAACGTATTGATTGATTACACCTTAGCCAGGAACAAATTTATTAGCCGTGTTGGGGAAAGTCATGGATAGGTGAAAACTGAGAAAAGTCTGCAAGTATGAAAAGAAACCATTTTGGTCAATAATTCTACAAGCTGACTTTGTCTCCAAACACGAAAATAAATTGTATGTTTATATACTTTTCACACCATGAATTTCTTCCTTCTTTCGATACTGGTCTGGAAACATCCTAGAAGAAAGTTTCCAGCTTAAAAAAACAATACACTCAAATACATCCCACAATCAATATGACCACCAACAAAACAATCGGTCATGCACCGCTGCAGATGCGTGCGATACGACCACAAGCGACCTGATCACCTGACATACCCTGCCTCTTCATTCTCTTTCCAGAGCGTACAGTCTTGCGCAACTGTGATGGTAGAGTGGGCATATAGCGTGTGAGATAGGATAAGTATATAAATACACAATTTATTGTAAAAATTTCAAATTTTAAACTTATCCATCTCACACTATGCATTTATCTCATGGCTGGATGGCGGGGTGCATGTACTGTAGCCTGTATTAGACTACAACTATGAAACGTACACGAGGAAGTGAGTGCTGAACTATGCTTCAATCACATGATAGGTACAATGTTTTGTGTCGTATTTTGGTTTGGTTTGTTGTTTAACGCCGCACTCAGCAATATTCCAGCTATATGACGGCGGTCTGTAAATAATCGAGTCTAGACCAGACAATCCAGTGATGACATCATGAGCATCAATCCACGCAATCGGGATACGATGACATGCATCAACCAAGTCAGCGAGCCTGACCACCCGATCCCGTTAGTCGCCTTTTACGACAAGCATAGTCACCTTTTAAGGCAGGCATGGGTTGCTGAAGTCCTATTCTACCCCGGAATCTTCACGGGTCGTTTTGCGTCGTAAAGGCAAGAACCTCGTGAATGTGTGATCACCAAGGAAAGTGATAAAACCCCTTTGCATTACCAGGCCATAACTATCATGATAGTGGGTACCCATGTGTTGTGTGTCTTCACGCAGGATGTCGGTCTTATAAAAAAAGAACGACCGCGTAACTTTAAACTGGTGATCCTTTTAGGTTACGACCTGTAACCAATTCAGTATATAAGAAAAGGTGAAATACCCCTTCTCTGGCCAATTGGTTCTACAAGACAGGCTTCACATGCTTCTCCTGCAGACAATAGGATGAGTCAGCTTTGAATCTCTTTTCACGATCGTCAAAACTTTCAATCACCCTCTAGGCATTGAAGCATGCTAAGACGAGAAGAGGGAACGATCGACAACACTTTCCCATGAAAGACTTTCCCACGATGTTGGTCTCAAAATGGACTCTGTTGACGTCGGGAGAATGAATCTCACTAGTTGCTAGTTCGAAGAGAAACACTGAATCCTTATGTTCAAAAGGTTCATAGTCCTCTGATAAAGATAGCGTAAGATGACGTTAAGGTCCCAAGCAAGTGGTCGAAAATGGGATAATTGATTGAAGGAGAGCTTGCAATTCAGCTTCCATGGACATCTTCAAACCCACAGAGGTAGCAATGACGGAGTTAATGGCTGCTACATAAGTAGCTAGAGTCGAACCCTTGAGCTTCAATATAGAATGCAAATGCTGGATATCTTCAATCTGCTATGTTTACCAGGACGGTGAACCAATTTATCGCCGGCCACAAGGGCGCGACCAAACGCAGTTGAAGGTGTTTCGTGATGGCTGCTTTCTGCAGAACTCAAGTTGGAAGGCTAGTTGGGGGATAAGCCTAGGCATTGAACCGGGTTTCGAAGAGGTCTACTTCTGGCTTTGGATAAAGTTCAGACAAATCCAGACGGGATAACGCATCGCTATGACGTTTTGCAACCCCGCAATGTGTCTGGCTGGAACCTGAATGCAGAGTCAGCATTAGAAATTGGCACTAGTCCTGTCAGCCTTGCCAAACTGCCCAATAGTTAAGGTATCATAAGGACTAGTAAAAATTGGCCATTTTTAAGGGTTTTGCTATATATGTTATCATTATAAGGACTAGTGGACTAAAAGTTTCTACTGCTGACAGTGAGTCAACTAGTTGGAAGAACTGGGCTGTGGTGGCCAGGAGAGTTGTTGACTAAGTTGAGCCCATCTTTTTGATACACCAAACTACGGATGCGTTGTCTGACTGGGTCATTAGCTGTGATGCTCGTAGAACTTCCGCCAATGAGACTGCGTTGAATTCCAAGTTGTTGATATCGAGTTTGGAGTCATCTGCGGACCAATGCCCTGCAATCTGCTGATCTAGAAGGTGAGCTCCCCAACTGGCGTTAAGGCATCGCACAAACAGATGGTGTGTCAGAATCCAATTCCTGGAGCCACTACGGGAGATGATGATATAACAATGTCGGGGGAAGGATCAGGACTTTGCAGTTGTCATGCTGCAGGAATTAGACACGTCTGTATTGGTTGAAGACACTGAATACACTGTATTGGTGTTTGTGAAGATGTCAACAGACCCAGGAGCTGCTGCCATTGTCGAAGATATAACAACTGTTCGAGAGCTGGTGGCACTAGTGGCTGTACTTTTGACCACCTGACCGGAGGGACGAAAATCTTGCCCAACATTGTGTTGAAGTGAGCTCCTATGAACTGTAGGCCTTGAGTAGGAAATCCATATCGATAGCCAGCCCTACAGATAATTGGATGAAGCCAAATGTACAGTACAAATAACAAATGGCACACACTACATCCCGTCTGCCTATGAAGATCTGATAACGGTGTAAGAATCTACATTGAAATGTTGCTATATGCAATAAACCAGAAGTTGTTATCCACAAAGTTACGTCTTCTTACTGACAGCTACTTGTGCTACACATTAAGGTTTCTTGGTAGTGGTAGGTCCATTGCTCCGTGTCCTAAGATACAGAGTTTGATCGCTGGTCAGTGTTGTGCTTCTGACATTTGCAAAGATAAGTACTCAAATCTTTACAACTAGCACTGTCCATGACAATCAGCAGTTGGAGCTAAGGTCTACTGTCCAATTGTATGATTACATTTTTCACAAAAAGGGTGTTTCTAAATGTGAATCTGACATGTTGAGTTGTCCAAGGAAGATTCCCACCCCCACCCCTAAAATAAATATAATTCTCTGTGAACTCAAACATATCCCCACACTATGGCAATGAGAAAGAGAATGAAGAGGCAGGGAATGTCAGGTAATCAGGTCACTTAGGGTCTGGTTGCAGGGGCTTGCACTGGTGCATAGCCCATTGTTTAGATGGTGACCATGGTAATCATGGGATGTGTTCAGGTGTAATTTTTTTTAAGCTGGAAACTTTGTTCTTGGACATTTCCAAACCAGAATCCAAAGAAGAAGGAAGAAATGCACAGAAAAATTTAGTAGCCTCCACCTTCTACACTGGTCAATTTTCCCTGAACCGACCTGCCAAGATTAGCTGCCACTGCCTTCTAAACAGGACCATTTCCAAGGATACAGAACCGATTTGCTAAACTTAGTTCCTGCTACCTTCTATACCGATTTATTTTCCACAGAAACGGAACTGACCTGTCAGGGTTAGTTTCCTCTGCCTTCTGCAGCTGCCTGGACCAGTATGTGCTCTTCTGTTTGTCCTCATCACTGTCCCCGCTGTCCATGTGGGCAGTGCGGTGACCGCGGCGCCGTCGGTCATCATAGTTGTCTGATCGCTGGTCAAACAAGAAGGAGTTCCGGGAGGCCTTTCCGTGGCTGTCTCTCTTCAAGCTCCGCTGGGTCCACATGTCCGTCTCCTCCACCATCTGATCAACACAGATCACACAGCCATTGAAACCAGCAGGGATTTATCTAGGATTCCTAACTAATTGGCCTTGGCATGCTAACGGAATAAATTGCTCAAAATTGGGATTTTGTATAGTTCTGGGGTATTTAAATATTGCATTCATATTGCCTGTATCTCTTTAATGGACCTGTTATCATGGGCCTGGGGGCTGGGGGCTCGGGGCTGGGGGCTGGGGGCTCGGGGCTGGGGGCTGGGGCTGGGGGCTGGGGCTGGGGCTGGGGGCTGGGGGCTCGGGGCTGGGGCTGGGGCTGGGGCTGGGGCTTGGGGCTGGGGCTGGGGGCTGCCATCTTGTGACATACAGCTCATGTCTCACCCTGTTGTGTGTTCCTGTGTGCCGGATGACATTTCTCAGCATCTGCTTGGTGCTCTTGGAGAACATCTTAAAAGATATCAACTACCAACGCCAACCTGAAAAATAAAAAAAATAATTGTTACACTGCAGCGAGCAATATAACAATTAACAGCTACATGTACAAGCATATCAAATATCTTCTTGCAAGTAATTGGTGATTAATAGTTGATCAAATAAACAAGTCACTGATTCGCATGATTAAAGCTCCAGATAAGATTCATTTTAGTGTCACTACCAAATTAATTTTGCATTGCTTGAATACAAATATGCATGTAAAATATCAATAAGTATAACAACAATGTGCATAAGTAGTTTTTTGTGTGTGTTTAATGCCCAATCTCATTGAAATCAGACCTAAGTTCTCCCTGCCGCTAAACAAAGATCTGAGGACATCCCATTACGGGTCACGTCAGAACAACCTTTCACGAACTTTCACCGACCACTGAAATGACCTCAAAGAAGTCGACATCAGCCAGTGAGAAAGCAGCTTTCTCAAGCTTTACAGCACTCGTTTCAACCTGGCGACTTCCATTTTAGACTACGTTTGAAAAATATGTTGAGACAGTTCTCGATTAAAATTTTGAAAGCTGAACAAACGAACATTCCAGAATGTCTAATATGTGGCTGAGATTGTATGGCAGTGCTTCCCAGATACTGTGCAACGCCTCCTCCATTCAAATGTTTATCCCACGGAAGCGAGAGATAGGCGATAATTTTGATGGAACCCGTTATAGGGGCGGTAACTGTCGTTCAGAATACCCCATGTTAACGTTTTTGAGGTTGCATGTCTAGAAAACACATTCTGACTGTCACTTTCACGATCTGGTAAGCGACGCTTTGATTGATGAAAGGTCGTTCTGACTTGACCTGTAATGGGATGTCCTGAGATCTTTGTTTAGCGAGAACTAAGATCTGATTTTAATGAGATTGGTTTAATGCCACACTCAGCAATATTCTAGGAATATGATGGCAGTCTGTACATAATCGAGTGTGGACCAGACAATCCAGTGACGCACATCATGACTTCGATCTACGCAATTGGGATATGATGACATGCATCAACGAAGTCAGCAAGCCTGACCAACCGATCCTGTTAGTCGCCTCCTACAACAAGCATGGGTTGCTGAAGACCAATTCTAACCCTGATCTTCAGAGGACGCTGTGCATACTCAAAGTAGCCTTTTCAGTTTGCCTGCCTATATGTCAATTCATTCACTTTACATTTCCAACATTCATTTATTCATTCCTTATCAGTGATTATACACTTCCAATATTCATTCATTACACATTTCCAACATTTATTTATTCATTATACATTTCCAAAATTCATTCATTTTCCATTTTACAAATTCATTCATTAGTTTCATTCAAAAGTTAATTAACTCAATCAATGTCTGTAATTTGTTCTCAAGTGGCCTTAATTGCTCAAATCAATCAATGTATGTGAATATAAACGATTAATGTTTCAAATCATATATATTTTCAATGGGTATGGATTCGCATTTTGGGGTACTACCAGTTGATTAGGTACAAGTTATCCAACATTTGATTAGGTACAAGTGGGTACGAGTTATTCAACATTTGGGTACGAGTTCGCCCGAAGGTTTGGGTACGGATCTGCCTGAAGGGATTGTCGAGTTCCCATGTGATTGGTTGGTTGGTTGGTTGATTTGTTGTTTAACACCGCACTCAGCAATATTCCAGCTATATGACGGCGCTCTGTAAATCATCGAGTCTGGACAAGACAATCCAGTGATTAATATCATGAGCATCAATCCACGCAATTGGGATCGATGACATGCATCAATCAAGCCAGCGAGCCTGACCAACTGATCGCGTTAGTCGCCTTTTACGACAAGCATAGTCACCTTTTACGGCAAGTATGGGTTGCTGAAGACCTATTCTACCCCGGCGTCTTCACGGGCCAGTTCCCATGTGAAGTCTTACTGTAAATAATTTCATGTGTGTTCATTGTTTTGTGTTTATTTTGAACAGTGAGTGCCACTCAAAAACATTTCAGTTGGCACCTTTAGCATGTTTAGTTTGGGATGTCATCGTAAATCAAGATACCGATACTGTGTACCCAAAGACGTATAGGCTATATGTCTTTGGTGTAAATAATTCACTGTCTCAGTTATACGTTTCGCCTAGATCTACATAGATCTACATAGATCTACGATTAATTAAAGAAAGAAAATTGAATTTTAAAAATTACAACCTAGTTGATACACACGCCTACAACTAAGTTGAAGCAATGGCGACGACATCTCGAAAAATGATGAAGAAAAGAAGTAAGCGTCATAAATGTAGCGATAATGCGTTTGTCAAACGCAAAGCTTTGAAGTTGAAAACATGAGGTATTGTTGGATAAGAGCGGTCGCTTAGTATTTCTCTTGGGCCTGCTTTTATTGTTTATTCTGAAAATGAAAACCGTGCACTTGCGTATGACTGCACACATTTGCATTTAGTCAATTGGAAACTTGCGGCTTATGTGTCCTGGGTAATTTAAGAAACAACAAACAACTAACCTTCTAATAACGCTCAACGTTGCATTGAGCGTCTTTCCACACTTCCGGTGCAAAACGTCATCAAGTTATGTGTTCTTCGTAGTACGCATACCAAGGACGCTTGTCGTTGAAACAGGTGCTTGCCTGTTCAGAAGCGTGATTGTTTCAGTTCGGTAAGTGATATACTAAACATATATTTACAGAGATTCGGCGATTTTGTAATAATGCTGATATCAATGTCGAGAACGATGACGGCCAAACCATTGTGTTTATTGAAATTTACGATCAAATACAGGAAGTCCCGTTAGTGTTACAGCATATGAGCTACTCTGTTAGGTTTACTGTTAACAAGCATTTGGCTTATTTTCAACCGGCTTTGTTTTACATTTTATTTTAAGCTAAACATTTTAGAGATTTTGAAACATGAGGCACAGTCATTTTAATAATATTTGTGAAATTCGTAATAACAACTATTTTGGTCATTTATAATTTAAATTTGAATTGAACAAAATTACGTAAACAGTCAAAGGCAATAGTTAAGTGACAAAATGCAATTCTAGATGGACAAATCTGTCAAGTCGGATTAGCAATTATTCATTTTTTTAAATTTCACTTGTTGCATGATTTAAAAATGCCTCAGGATGAACTTTTTATATTTTTTGATGTGTTAGAAATAATCAATATTTGAGTTATAAAGCATGCAAGGACTTGTCGGCACAGCAAGTCCGTGGTATACTGTGTCAAAGCAGGGATATTCATTTTAAACTGTTGGTATAGTAATTGGTGTCTCAGTGGGCTTACCACTTAGCACTAAAATCCTGGCATTAGCTTGTACTTGTACATTAAGCATACACACACACACACTAACACTAACACACACACACACTAACACTAACACACACTAACACTGACACCACACACACACACTAACACACACACACTAACACCACACTAACACTAACACACACACCACACACACACACTAACACACACACATATACAGTAGAACATGGATATAACGAACTACAATTTTGAAGGGACTGGAGAAATCAGTTCATTATATATGTTGTTCGTTATATACGTTTTTACTCAGAAACAACCGCCATCTTGGCTAAAACCAAACACAATACACATACTTTCAAACATGTCTCCTCCCGTATCTACCGGTACCCAATGATACAACTTCAAAAGCATTTGATGCAATGATCGGAAGAAATTGTCACAGTAGGTATTTCCCGTGTTACATGTATTTTGATTGCGAAAACGTTATGTTGATCGACATTTAATAGTCAAACTGAATCAAATATGACTTTTAACAAGTCAGAGTATGGCATTTATGATATATGTATCCATTCTCTTGCAACTAAAGTTCATATCAAGGCGTCAGTAGCGTTAATCTGACCATGGTAGTTGTAAATAACAGTGAGTTGTGCAATCTCCTGATCCCTTTACACACGATTTTGCCGTAATTAATGTAAACGTTATTGAATGATGAGCTGATAATGTTTTTTTTCGATGGGGAAGATTTCGTGTCACTGGAAAACTTAGATTTATCAAAAATGTATGTAATTTTTGGGAGCCATGCTTTACCGTGCACTATAACAGAGTTAGCGCTATATTGAAGAGTGTAATAGCTAGGGAACACAGTCATTGCTGCATTGACTTGTCTTAGCAATGTTTGTTTAACAGACGGGATTAGTCCAATTACATGGACAAGTAAGATTAACGTAATGCAAGTTTAACAAAGGTGAATCGTCACCAGTGATTGTGTTGATTCGCCGCCATTGTGTTGATTCACCGCTAATTGCGTACAGTTAATTGTCAGTGACACTTGACACTGAGTGAGATTTCTCAGTTTACTACACACGTCATTAATTAGTGGTATTTGGGCTTGTCAGTGATCAGATATCAGTTCGCTGTATCCGTTAGTTCGCTGTAGAGAGTTCGTTATACACGTAAATTTTATATGATATTATATAGGAGATAAATCGGGGTTCTTTTAACAGCTCGTATCCGTTTGTTCGCTCTATCTGTGTTTGTTCTATCCGTGTTCTACTGTACTTGGAATGCAACATTAAACCCCATTATTTGTTATTTAAAGAAAGAAATACCGTATTCGACGTTATAAGCACCCTGCTCTAATAAGGCCCACGGCGATATTTGCTAATATATTGGCTAGTGAACAATCCCAATTAGCACACCTTCCGATTGATCAATGTACACCAGACTTATTTATTCGCGTATAATTTGCACTGGTGTGTTATGTGCACTCTTAATTATGGGCAATTAAATTCTGGAAAAAATATATCTGTGGTATATAAACATTTCAAGCTGTCAGCATAAACCACAACATTTATCTTTCAACTCTGGTTTTTTTCACCAAAATAATATTCTAATAAGAGCCCCCATATGTCTAATTTTGAGAGCGCCCTGGGCGCTTATTACCTCGAATACGGTAGTATTTGAAACTATGGTATTGCAGCTTTGATAAACAAATTTTTACAGAAACATATTTTTGTAGTTTTGCAGATAATTAACATGGCTGAGACAATGGGAGGCTACAACAAGGATGATCTTCTAAAACAAGCTCAGAATATCTGGACGATGCTGGACGATATGGCGGCAAACAATCCCCAGGGTTACAAACAGTTCATGGACAAACAGATGAAGGAAGGAAAACAGGCCTTGGCGCCACCAAATCCACACATGGTTGTCAAGACAACTATGCTGGTAGGATTGGTTGTTTGGATTTCAATTGAATATTATTTGATGGATTTATTCATGAACATTTTTACTGTTTCATGTCTTTAGTGAGGGCACGCCCCAAGTACTGGTGGCCCAGTCGTTTCAGGCGCTGCAATTCACTGTGCAGAGTTAGGTCCCTTGGGCACACAATAAGCCTATGATCATGGGTACGAATCCCAGTATATGTTGGTTATTGTATGCAAAAAGCTATTTTTTTTCATGTTAATTCTAAAATTTTCCGTGTAGAAAGTTAATTGTGCTTATAACTTTGATTTGTGCGAAACTATGAACAAATGCGCGTATTTCTCTCCATGGAAAAGTTTCAGTAGATTTCTGTTATAATGATAGGGAATCAAAACAGGGGAAAGAGACATTTCCCATCAACCAACTGTACCAGTTATCGCCATCGTCTAAACAGCACGTGATCACACACACCGCTTCCGTTTTACAAATTAAATTTTCTATTTTCTCTGGTATCTCACTCAATTTTTGTATTCATTACAATTGATAAGAAATGCTTTTATCCATTTGTCGTCCTCAAACTGACCAACACCAATATTCACCAAATTCGATTTACACATGCACATCCTCAACTCTATGTACTAAGGATTTTGTGATATTACAGGGTAATATTTCTCTCTTCTAATGAAATCGCGCAAAAGTAAAACAAGATGCCATCACGTGAGCCCTATAACAGGGAGTTGGCGATAATTGTTCTTTGGCAATAACTGGTCGCTAGCCAGTAATTATAACAAATTGACTAAATATTATTACGAAGTTCAAAAGGGCTTAAAAACATCACAATAGACTAATTATGCTGGGATTAGAAGCCAAAAATATAAAAATGTACTTTGCCTTTCGTTTTCTTTTAATCCTATCAATTTCATTCACGGGGTGATGAAATTAAAAATCAAAATGTTTGGAATTGTTATCATAATAAAAGAAATTTCCAGTCAATTTGAAAATAAGCGAAATCTTTAGGCGTTTTATCAATTGCCTAAGTAAGTATTTCAGTAATTTTACACATTGACTGTTTGTTTCAAATTGTTTGTTTGTGTGTTGTTTAACGCCGCACTCAACAATATTCCAGCTAAATGACGGCAGTCTGTAAATAATCGAGTCTGGACAAGACAATCCAGTGATTGACATCATGAGCTTCGATCCACACAATTGGGATCGATGACATGCATCAACCAAGTCAGCGAGTCTGACCACCCGATCCCGTAAGTCGCCTCTTACGACAAGCGTAGTCGCCTTTTACGGCAAGCATGGGTTGCTGAAGATCTATTCTACCTCGGATCTTCACAGGTCACACATTGACTGTAACATATATGATAAGCAATGCTCAGATGAAATCATTAGTTTGTGTCAAATTTCAAAGTAAAAAAATTTCACCTCACCTTAATTTTTTTACAGAAACCTGAAAAAGATGAACTGTACATCAATTTTTGTTCATGGGCTAAAGTTCCGGGACCAAAAACCCCAGATGATGCTGTTCCTGTGATTGGAGTGCCAATTGAACAGATGGAAGACAGAACCGGTATTAATCTAAATCGGCATCAGTCTCAATAAATCAGATCTATATTCATCCCATTACACGTCACATCAGAACGACCTTTTCGCGAACTTTGACCTGTAATGGGATGTCCTCAGATCTTTGTTTAGCAATAGCGAGAAGTAAGATCTGATTTTAATGAGATTAAACCAGCATCAGTTGTACTCTCAGGAGGAAGGGGAGAGAGTGAGTGAGTGAGTGAGCATGGTTTTACACAGCTTTTTGCAATATTCCAGCAATATCACGGTGGCAGGTGTACTCACAGGAGAGTGAGTGAGTGAGTGAGTTTTTACACCGCTTTTAGCAATATCACAGCAGGGGACACCAGAATGGGCTTCACACATTGTACCCTTGTCGGGAATCGAACCCGGGTCTTCGGTATGACGAGCGAACGCTTTAACCACTAGGCTACCCGACTGCCCACTCACAGGAGAAAGGTGTACTTGCATGTTTAGCACATTGGGGCTACCAGTGGTCTATCTGGGATTTGGGGCATGAGGGTAGCCTAGTGGTCAAATAATTTGTAATGTATTTACCCAAACCAGAAGTGTTCATAACTTTGCTATTAACATAGCTAGAGGCATAGGACCTTCTGTTTCAAAGTTGTAGTGTTTGCATGCCTGATGTCACTTATGAAGTAGTCATAATTGTTCAGTAAATTTCTGGAAATGGCATCTTCCCAAGGCAAGCGTGTCCACAAACCTATATCAAAGCCTTGTTTCTACCCTTGCCACATCAAGGCCACTTTTCTTGGCTCGACCCTGGCGCCCCCTCTCGTGATCACGAGTTGTGCCCCTTGTAATGAAAATGCGATATCCAATCAGATCAGTGTTCTTATCTCGTATAGCTTCACAAAGATGGCGACTACCTTAGGCGACGACCTAGTCGATCAGATAACAAGACGATTTCATCCCTGACACAAAAACAAAGGCAATCGTTGAGGGATTTTAAAAATGAAAAAGACATATTCGGGTCAACAAAGACAGGCAGCAGTATGTCACTTTCATATGAATATGTACCAGTCATGGATGTTGATTTTGTGAAACGCTCTTTGATTGGACTATCGATATGTGCTAGTGGACACTCTTGCCTCGGGAAGATGGGAGATGGTGGTGAATAGGCTGGTTTAAATGTAAATACCTTTCTAGTTAAAAAGTAGTTCCTGCTATGCGACTCCCATCTTCCCGAGGCAAGAGAGTTAACTGGCTATAAAAGTCCAGTTTCTGCCCTTGCCGAACTAGGCTGGTATTATGGAGTTACATTTTGGCTGGACTAATGAGTCTATGCATAGTCCAATCAAATCGCGCACCGAAATATCGAAATCCGGTTCGTAAACTGTCGTGCAGATTTCGATCGATTGCAGGATTTGCAAAGCATGTGCATCGCCAACTCGTTGTCAGCAGATATTTTCCAAATCTTTTCATGTTTTTAATGAAGGTGCTCACGTGCCCGTTTTATCACAATATAGATCTTGATTATCGATCAGACCATCCTGACTGGGTGCCACCATTTTGTTTGAAGCAAACGCAAGTGATACGAGAGGTGGAACCTGATTGGCCCATAGGAGAGGCTTAGAAGGGACATAACTGGTAGTGGCCACTGGTGGCGCTACGATCGAGCCCTGTTATTCCAGCCTAGTTCGGCAAGGGTGGAAACTGGACTTTTAAAGTCAGTTAACTCCCTTGCCTCGGGAAGGTGTGCGACCCCATTTAAATATTTATCAGATCGGCCCAAGTTTATGAGACTGGTTTATCACATCAATAACACCAACCAGTATCCATTATGTCATCCAAAAGGTTACAATTATAATATAATATTATTGTATAATACACATACCGTATTCGACGTAATAACCGCCCCGCTCTAATAAGCACACACAGCGATATTTTCCAATTTATTGGCTAGTGAACAATCCCAATTAGCACCCTTCCAACTGATCAGTGTACACAATTCGAGTACATTTATTTGTGTATAATACTCACTCATGTGTTTTATGCACCCTTAATTACGTGCAATTAAATTCTGGAAAAATATATCTGTCATGTATAATATGCACAAACTTTTCTTTTGTATCATTTCAGGCTGTCAGCAGAAACCATAAAATTACAATCTTTCGACTCTTTCACCAAAATTATATTCTATTAAGAGCCCCCTATTTCTAATTTTGTGAGCGCCCTGGGCGCTTATTACGTCGAATACGGTAATTATTTCCAGTTACAGAATATGATTTTTCGAAAAACAAATAACTCTCTTGGTTTCACGTTTATTTAATATTTTAGATCGCTATAGGATGACATCTGTCTCCTTCAATCCACAAGTGTTAGACAAATACGGCCGAGACTCTTCCAACTTGACAGATCGAGACACACTGATTAATCTAGCCATGGACTATATAGAAGATCAACAAAAAGTCAAAGTGAGTCGGCGTTACACAATACTTGACAGAGACACACCGCACAAAGGCTGCCTCAAACATATTCAGAAGAGCTTCACTTCCAAGAACAAAGACGACAAAGAATTTGAGTCCAATCTTGAAAACCTAGAAAAGTCCTTTGGCCCTCTAGGACATGGTGGCAAGGATAAATTAATGGAAGCACTAGCCAATATCAGTGTCGGTGACAGCCAATCAAATTCAAGTATTCCCAAATCTGACCAATCACAAATCAAAATGCCTTTTGAGGAGAAAACGGCAACAAGGTCAAATTTGATTGAAGAAATAGCATCGGATGTTGTGTTTTTAAGGAAACCAGAGTACAGCATGGAAACAGTTGATGTGGACAGTGGAAAATGTGTGCAGGTGAAAATTTCTTTACCAGAAGTGACCAGTGTCCAGGAGTGTGAATTGGAAATATCCCAGGTGGGTGCAACGTTAGAAATTGGCACTAAAGTACTCATGGAAATGGAAAAAACCCTGTTTTTCTCAATTTAAAAATCGACACAAAGTGTTACGTAGCTGTAAATACGAAATAACAAAACAACTCGAAAAGTACTAGTCTGGATTTGCTAGTTTGATCTCCGTGAACAATACAAAATGTACTTTACAGGAGGTAATTTGTCGGCACTTTCAACATTCAAAAATAAAAACTAAGTCCAAATTGACATACATTGTAGCAGAAACAGACTATAGGCATTATGCACCTGTTCTCACCTGTCGAGGTGTCATAGGTCACCTTGATCTACTTATACCTGGTTATGCCCTGTTTCACAATAGTCTGTTTTATTCACGTGTAAAAAGGCATTAAAACATTTGATACGCTGTATTTGTGCCACGGCCCAATTAGTACTAATTTAGTTGTTTGAATATTTACATATTTTGTATATTAACTGCATTTATTTAAGACCTGAGGTCGAAAAAACAGTTTTTTTTCATTTCCATGAGTACTTTAGTCCTGTAGGCCTTACCAAACTGCCCAATAGTAAAGGTATCCTAAGGACTAGTAGAAATTAGTCCATTTTAAGGGTTTTGCTATATGTTATCATTATAAGGACTATTGGACAAAAACTGTGAGTTTCTAACCCTGGGGTCGGCTTTAAATATTCCCAAACTGGAGAGTTAAAATGTTCCCAGTTCATGTTACATGTTGTTATATCTAAGCGACAGGTCATTTGAATACACAATGGTCATTTATCAAGGGAGGGACAGTTTTGTTTGTTTGTTTATTTGTTTGTTGTTTAAAGCCGCACTCAGCAATATTCAAGCTATATGACGGCGGTCTGTAAATAATCGAGTCTGGTCCCAACAATCCAGTGATTGACATCATGAGCATCAATCCACACAATTGGATACGATGACATGCATCAACCAAGTCAGCGAGCCTGACCTCCCAATCCTGTTAGTCGCCTCTTTCGACAAGCACAGTCCTTTATGGCAAGCATGGGTTGTTGAAGACCTATTCTACCCCGGATCTTCACGGGTCGGGAGATCATTGAGATTGGTGTTAGGACTGCATCATACTTTGCTGACACCCCATTTTATGTAACATATTTTCAATTTTAATTTCAATTTGAATGATGGTTTGTTTGTCAGACTTTTGAGCAATAGAAATGCTAAGCAAGGCATCACATATTCATAATTTCATGACTATAAAGTAAATAGCAAATATAAGTCTTACTTGTAGTGTCGATGCACAGCCATCAAATATCATAATTGAAATTCTGAGCAACGTGTGTCTTGGCATCTTACTTTCTGTATCATACGGAAAAGTTGTCACGAGCTACAATGACTTAATCAAGCCCTTTTCTTATCGCGATGTTCATTGGCCAGATCATATTTATATTCATCTAATCACGATCAGTATTGGATTGATTTGTTGTTATGGCTCATCCTCCATTTTGTTTATTTAACTTATTGATATTTCCCATTGACTTATTACATTTCTTGGGTCCAAGTCATTGACCTATATATATAGCTTTTTGTGACAAAATCACTGGTCCTTAAATAATGTTTAATTTATGGGGAAAAATAATTTTAAAAAATGAAACTCATTTTTTCATGCCCCCACCCCATTAGAGTTGATAACTTTTGGGCAACCCCCTTCTTTTGCTGAGTCATTTTTCCCTCCCTTTCACATATTCACTACAATATGAACAGTCAAAATTCTAAAGTGCACAACTGCCCATGGCTGGGGAAAGTGAGACCGCCTCCATGGTCCAGTGGTAGAGCATCCACCCGGAGAGCGGAAGGTCCGGAGTTCGATCCCCGGCCGCGTCATACCAAAAGACGTTAATAGATGGTACTTGTTGTTACCCTGTCTGGCACTCGGCATTAGGGGCTAAAACAAGGACTGGTCGGTTCGGAGTCAGTATACTGTGTCTGAGTGGGGTATTCATGTTAAACTGCGGCATGGTATCTCAGTGGGCTAGCACTATAAATCGGCATCAGTCCGGACTAGTACAAGCAGCCACACACACTTGCATGCACGTCACTATATAAGTGCAATAATCTTGGACGCGACGTTAAACCCAATTTCACCTCATTTCATCACACCTGGGGAAAGTGATGGCCGTGTCCTTGTTTAAATCATGATTACAGATTCCTGGGCTAAAAACTAGAGTCCAAATATTGGGGGGGGGGGGTTTCTGTAAAACCAACTGTTGAACTGTTTAACCAGGAAACGTGTTCTAAGGGGAAAATTGGGCATCCAAATAGACGTCCCTGTCTAACCCTGCTAACCAAATATTGCCATCTGAAGGGTTACAAGTTATTTATTTTATTATTAGCTTAATTGTATAAGTGGTAGTTCCAAGGAAATGTCACTAGTCCTTCCTGAATTGTTCTAGTCTTGGACTAGCGGACCTGTGTTAATTTCGAACCCTGATCCGTGTTTCAGGATGATGTGACTCTGCTGGTCCCTGACAGGTTTGAGCTTCATCTGCAACTTCCACATCCCGTGGATGAGGAGCGTGCCACAGCCAAGTTCAACAAGAAACATTCCTCACTCAATATCACCATGCCATGGTCTCAGTGACCTTGGCCTCAACTCATGAAGGACAAGACTTACATTACTCTGTTTTATTTGATGTTTACAATCTCATTAACATCAGATCTTAGTTCTCACTATCGCTAAACAAAGATCTGAGGACATCCCATTACGGGTCACGTCAGAACGACCTTTTGCGAATTTTGACCGACCAATGAAATGACTGACAAGAAATCGACATTGGCCAATAAGAAGGCAGCTTTCTTGAGCTTTACGACACTAGTTTCAAATTGGCGACTACGCTTCGAAACATATTTTGACGTATTCTCAATTAAAGATTTTTAAACTGATAAGAAGAACATTCTGGAATGGCTTATAGATGGCATAGATTGTATGGATATAATCATAAAACCTGTAACTGTCGTTCGGAATACCCCGTGTTAAATATATCCTGGTTGCATGATTAGAAAACTCATTCCGACGGTCACTTTCATGATCTGGTAAGCGACGCTCTGATTGGTTGGATGAAAGGTCATCTTTGTTTAGCGATAGCCAGAACTGAGATCTGATTTTAATGAGATTGTTGATGTTTATGGCTTTGTTAATTACAAACAATTTTGTGCCATGTTGGTGTAATGATACGGTGAGGTCACGATACGAAACATATCAGATACTATGGGTGGGATACAATTTGTATCCTGGCTTAGGGTTTTATGCGATGCACAAATGTTGAGATTGGACGCAAAAAAAAATATATACTGTGTACCTCAGGACGCACAATAACATCCATTGTACCCACAGCGCAGCAAGAGCAGTTATGGGGTCTGTCGTTTCATCCATCAATCATGACCACTGTCCACATGATTATTGATTCATTCCAGGCTGTAAAGTAATCATCTAAACATACAGTACACTTCACCATTTTGTTACTTTACAGGGCCCTCAAATTGCCCGCGCGATTCTCTGTGCAGAGTTGCGTCCCTTGGGCACGCCAGAAACCTATGACTGTGGGTTCGAATCCCGGTTCGCCCCGATTATGTTTCTAGGTTTGTCAGCACCATACCCGTGCTCGTGGGTTTCACCGAAGTGGTAAACGTCTCAGACCTGCATCACTTCGGGCTTTCCTCCCACATTAAGCTGACACGCCGTGGTTTAACTGGAATACTGTTAAAAGCGGCGTTAAACTCAACTCACTCACTCACTCAAATTACCCGCAAGGACCCTTAAAATTCATTACGGGGGTCCCCAGAACCCCCACCTTTGTAAGTCAGAGTAAAACCCTGATTCTGGTTTAGTGTTCAAAAAGCTTCCTGCCCACTAGCCAAATGCCAGTGACTTATAAACTGGGCCAGTAACCTTTCCTTGAAGTGGCACGACTGTCTCGTTGAAAATTCTAGTCAATAGGAATTTATTTCTATGAATCATCATGTCATGCTTGTCGTAAGAGGCAATTAACGAGATCGGGTGGTCAGGCTCGCTGACTTGGTTGATGCATGTCATCGTATCCCAATAACATGGATCGATGCTCATGATAATAATCACTGGTCCAGACTCGATTATTTACAGACCGCCCTCATATAGCTGGAATATTGCTGAGTGTGGCGTTAAACAACAAACCAACCAACTAAGGCGTTATGTAACGTCGAAGTCTTTTCTTTTTTTTTCTTTTATCAGAAACCCATGCAAAGTAGTAAACTGTTGTTGTTCACTGATCATGACTGATATACATACATGCGTTTGACGTCAGACAAACGTATAGTACCAATCAGCTTCACCGTTGTTTAGCAAAATGGTCTCAAGACTATTTTGATACATATTGCAAATGGTGGCCTCCATATACCATGTGGACGTCATTCAGCATTTTCTGCAAAATGAAGTTGTGTCAGTAATCTGAATGTCAAAATCCAAATTCAATCAACTACGTTAAAGTCACGCTTATGACGAACTGATCGATATAATGAACGTATTTCTTAGTCACAGCCATTTCTTGTGTATATGCTGCATACATGGTTATAAAAGACTACGGTTATTACAAGAATTCAGTGTTGTGTGGTGAATAGCCACCCCATCAACAAGGACAGCGATCTCGCTTGCTGTAAAATTGCTGTGACGAACGCGTTTGACACTGACAGAGGTCTGTGATTCAGCCATATTTCGACAATGCGTCGTCTGCTAAACATGACCAAGGGAGGCCACTCTAAGCGAAACTTTCATATCTTCATGGCTGAAGATTCCGATCTTTGTTAAGATCGGCTACTTAAGAACTTGTAAAGTTACAATCACCCTAAGATCACTTTGTGGAACAGGCGTAAACTTTAGCTAAGACAATTTTAAAATCAACGTAAGTCTCTAAGATTGATTGTAGTTACAATCGTTGTCCCTTTGAGTTCCTTATAACCGTAGTTTACTGTATTTGCATTGAAGGTAAGAATGAGGCTGAGCAGTCATAAGTAGCAAAGCGTATTGTAGAAGAGAAGGAAAAGCATGACCAATCATTTTCAAGTAGATGGGTCCTGGACTCACTCACTCACTCACTCAAACACCCACCCACTCACTCACTCACTCACTCTATGACCAGCATTAGGGGAGGGCCATTATATTCTGTACATGAGTGCACCAAAAACCTCCAATGACAACTACACAAAGATTATTTATGCCAAATATTATTCTTTGGAGCTTTAGGTTTTGAAGAAATTGTGTTGATGGGGCTGCTTGTCTTTTTGCAAGTAAATGCAAACATCTTTAGTTAAAATCTTTTGCTCTCTGCATAAAGATTGAGTACGCTCCCTTATTTAGGGACTGGTCATTTATTATGGGGGGGGGGGGATAAAAAAAATGGCACATAAAATTGGTAGTGGGAGCGGGGGACAAAACATAAAAAAATAATACAGCCCTAAGATCAATCTCAGCCCTCTCACCCGCCATTCCTGTAATAAATGACCAGTCTCACAATGTTTTATTATCAAAATACCGTCCAGTTGTTATTTTGAATGTGAAAAGATATCATTTATTGTTATTGAATAAATTATGACATGTTTTATGATCTCTGTAAGAGTGTTCACAGATCAGGAATAAATAAATATTGATTGGACCACAAGAAGTTTTTATGACCAGGATTAAGATACAACCATACATGGATGAAAGAGGTAGGGTAACTGCCAACTGAAAACGTTTTAAGGTTTAATATGAACAACTTTTTAAAAATTATCAGACACGTTAAATGGCTAGACTTTCTTTATTTTTTACACTAACCTTGTAGACCTGAGATGATCACATACTTATGAATGGCTAAAATGAGGGGTTTTTTTAAAAAAAAGGCTAGTTTTTCCTTCTTCAAGAGATAATCTTACCCAGATAAATTCCTTACCATACGTTTCTCCAACCTTTATCTACATCTCCTTAGAAAATCATCTTGGGTCAAAGACTTGCTCATAATACTGAAAAAACGGTTTCGAAAACCTCTGTTATCAGTCTTCACATGCATACTACTGAAAAAAATTAAAGGACACCTGATGTTTCATATATAGAGGATATTTTTAGGCGTGTTTATGTCAAACTATGTTTACGACATGAGTGTCTAAATTCTGGTATTTCGATCTGATTTCCGCCAAGCATGTGGCATTTGTGCTAAATGTTCATGTTACATGAACCGAAACAATGTTTGTTTTGTTTTTATTATTTTTTCTCCACAACAATGGGTGAGAGCTAGAAAATACGGGAATTTAGGCACGAGTGTCATAAACATGGTATGACATAAACATGAATATAATGTTCTAGTTATTTCCAAAGAAGATGTCTACATACAGAGACGAATTTTAGTGTTTACCTTTAAGGACAGCAAGTCGCAGCAGCAGTGGAATCACAATTTGTTGACGGAAACAAATGTCTTGTGACGTGATATGACCCTAGGACATATACGATTTTTATGAACCCCGACACGTTTGCCCTTGTAGGTAATAGGGAGGGAGTGAGTGAGTTGGGTTTAACGCCGCTTTTAACATTATTCCAGTTATATCACGGTGTGTCAGCTTAATGTGGGAGGAAAGCCCGAAGTGATGCAGGTCTCAGACATTTACCACTTCGGTGAAACCCACAATCATAGGTTTCTGGCGTGCCCAAGGGACGCAACTCCACACAGCAAATCGCGGCGCCTCAGAAGACTGGATCTCCTGTGCCCCCCAGGTAACAAAACAGATGAACTTTATAGTCATGAATAAATCAGGTGTTCTTGATGTTGTGTTGGGTAGTATGTTTTTGGCCTTACCAAGACATTCTGTGGTGTTGTAAGTCCAAACCGTGCCAGTGTACAAGTCTAATTATCACACACTGGAACCCCATAGAGATTCTGGGTTAGAATCGGTCCACAGAAAACTATGCTGGTCGTAAAAAGAGGCGACCAAATAGAATGATGGTCAGGCCCAAGGATTTGGTTGATAGCGTGCCCTCATAACGGGGGCACTGGTGGCCCAGTCGTCGCAATTCGTTATGCAGAGTTGCGTCCCTTGGGCACGCCGGAAAACTATGATTGTGGGTTTGAATCCTGGTTCGCCCCGATTATGTTTCTAGGTTTGTCAGCACCATACCCATGCTCGTGGGTTTCACCAAAGTGGTAAACGTCTGAGATCTGCATCACTTCGGGCTTTCCTCCCACATTAAGCTGACACGCCGTGATATAACTGGAATACTGTTAAAAGTGGCGTTAAACCCAACTCACTCACTCACTCATACCCCAACAGCTTAGATCAATGCTCACAATATCAATCACTGGATTGTCTTGTCCAGACTTTATTACTCATTGACCGCTGTCTTATAGTTGTAAAACAACAAACGAACAAACAAACACCCATACATGATACACTGGTGCGAATGGGAAGCCCAGGGGTTGAAGGGGCTTGTCACAATGAAGACCTAAGTTTGATTCTCCACTTGGGTGTTGTGTGTGATACTTATTTCGGGGTTTTCCCTGCCATGATATTGGGGTACCGTATTCGACGTAATAAGCGCCCAGGGCGCTTTCAGAATTAGAAACAGGGGGCTCTTATTAGAACATTACTTTTGTGGAAAAAACAGAGTTGAAAGATAAATCTCGTGGTTTATGCTGACAGTCTGAACTGTTTATTTACGACAGATACATTTTTACAGAATTTAATTGCCCATAATTAAGGGTGCATATAACACACGAGTGTGTATTATACACGAATAAATAAGTCTTGTGTACATTGAAAAATGGAAAGGGTGCTAATTGGGATTGTTCACTTGCCAGTATATAAGCAAATATCGCCGTGGGCGCTTATTAGAGCGGGGCGCTTATTACGTCGAATATGGTATATTTCTAAAAGCGGCGTAAATCAGAATTTAAATCAGCCATTCAACAAAACATGTCAGTTTTCTACCAACAGTTGTGTTCTATTTGGAGAGAAACATTTTTTTAAATTGTTATGGGATGAAACGTTGAATAAAAAACCTTTTGACTGCTTATATTGAATATCATGAGGATAGGGATTTTTGGCTACGATCAATCAGAGCAATGGTGGATAAAATATCTTACCGATACATTTACCAACTTGAAATGTAAATATATTGTTGCACGACCTAAAATACAAGCACACTTTTTTGAAGGCAAGTGTCTCATAAAGTGAATCTTGTGGTATTTGTCATTAGATCACAACGCATGCACTTTGTTGAAATCAATGTGCAATGCAGATTTAGATCAGGGATCAATAGTTATCAGGAAACCTAGACGAGACATTGTGAATTATGATGCCACAGTTTTGTTTGTTTGTTGATTAAATCAAATCTGAAAACACCAAGGAGTGACTTTTGAAAATATTCATCACAGCACATTTTTACGGAAGCCTTTTAGGACCATTTGTTTTTTTCAATACTATCTTGAAATTTCAAATTAGTATCTCGAAATTTCAACTTAGTATCTTAAAATTTCAAGATAGTATCGAAAATTTTTTTTTTAAAAATGGACCTAAACGTCTTCCATACATTTTTTACTGAAGTGCTCCTTTATTTTGAAATGAATCAGAGTGAAACAGTTGCGTTTAATGCCCCTTTTAACGCATCAAGAGAGTTAACTGACTTTAAAGGTCCAGTTTCCACCCTTGCCGAACTAGGCTGGAATTCCTGGGCTCGATCGTAGCGCCACAAGTAACTGTTACGAGTTATGTCCTTTCTATGCCTCTCATATTGACCAATCAGATTCAACCTCTCGTATCACTTGCATTTGCTTCAAACAAAACAGGTGGTGCCAAGTCAAGATGATCTGATTGATAATCAAGATCTATATTGGGATAAAACGAGTCTTACATCGCGAAATGCATCAAATCACGTTAGTACCTTGATTAAAAGCATGAAAAGATTTAGAAAATATCTGTTGACAACGAGTTAGCGGTGCACATGCTTTGCAAATCCTGCAGTCGACCGAAATCTGCATGACACTTTACGAACCGGATTTCGATTTCAGTGCGCGATTTCGATTGGACTATGCATAGACTCGTTAGTCCAGCCAAAATGTAACTCCATAATACCAGCCTTGTTCGGCAAGGGTGGAAACTGGACTTTTATAGTCAGTTAACTCACTTGCCTCGGGAAGATGCTTTTAACAGTATTGCAGTTATATCATGTTAGCTTATTGTGGGAGAAAAGTCTGAAGTATGTACGTCACAAACCTAGAAAAAACCAGGGCAAACCAGGATTCTAACCCACAATCATAGGTTTGGTACGTTACAGCACCTAAGATAACTGGGCCACCCTTGTCCCCAAAAGGAATCATAACTAGAACACAAGTGAATGTCTGATAGTGTGTTAGTTTGTTTGTTTTTTTGTTATTTGACGCCGCACTCAGCAATATTCCAGCTATATGACAGTGGTCTGTAAAGATTTGAGTCTGGACCAGACAATCCAGTGATTGACATCATGAGCATCGATCCACGCAATTGGGATTGATGACATGCATCAACCAAGCAGAGAGCCTGACCACCCGATCCCGTTTAGTGGCCTCTTACGACAAGCATGGTCGCCTTTTACGGCAAGCATGGGTGGCTGAAGACCTATTCTACCCCGAATCTTCGCGATTTCTTATAGCAGTAGGTGACCATAAATGTAATATCACAGATATATACTCCCTGACAAACGCCTCACAATGAATGAAATCACACAAAACCACATATATTTGTGAAAAGTTTAATTTCCATTCTATTTACACATTCTCACGAGAGTTGTTGGTCAAATGAATCTCCCACAACATTAACATAAATACACACTAATTCCACGTGTGCCATGTTGCCAACGCAACACTACCTAGCAACTAAATTTGGTTACCATGACAACACTGCATAACAACCAAATCAAGGTAAATGCAACACTGCCCCGCATCCAAATTTGGCTTCTATGACAGAATTGCCTAGCAACCAGCTCTTATCACGATGACAACGTGCAGGGATGAAGGCTCTGCACTGCAGCTGTTAATAACGAAATGCTCTAAAGTCAATATTTCTCTAATAATCAAAGTATGGTGTATTATCTTCTTCCTGCGCTTCAGCCACAGCTGATTGTTTAACAGCTTGCTGTATTTCCTTAACTTCTCCCAATCCTAGTGCACCCAAATCAGGATCTGAAACAGTAAATTATTGGCAGTCAGTGTAAGATGCATTTGGGACTGGTTTGAGAAACAAGTCAGCTCTATCACAGTCAAGCAGCATCTGTAGGACAAAAGCCCAAATGGTGCAGGTCGTTGATTGTGAACAGTTTGGTGAAGCCTTGAGCAGTGTTGAAATTCGACATGAAAGCTAAGAACTTCTTATCAATAACAATCAAGGATTAACGAGTTCCCTAGATGCAAATGCTATAGAGCATTGGAAATTCCATATTTTTAAGAAAAGAACAAGTATAAACCTAATAAAATTTGACAAGTCATCAGAATTTGTAGCTAGTACTGTTTGAATGAGACCAAATGTTTTGTATGTTAATATACTCACCACCAAAAGAAACACGAATGAGTGAGTGAGTTAGTCAGTTGGGTTTAACGCCGCTTTTAACAGTATTCCACTTATATCACGGCGTGTCAGCTTAATGTGGGAAAAGCCCGAAGTGATGCAGGTCTCTGACGTTTACCAGTTCGGTGAAACCCAAGAGGATTGGTATGATGCTGACAAACCTAGAAACATAATCTGGGCGAACCGGGATTCGAACCCAATCATGGATCTGTGACATCACATCACATGTGATGCGTTCATGAGCATCGGTTCACACAACATACCAGTTATTTTCATTTGGGCATCAAACCAATCCAATTTCTCTTGAATATGAGTAAGTCTTCATATATTAACTAACATGTATGGTATTAACATTTCTTTTGGTGGTGAGGATATTTTCTATCAGTATATTCAGTCGCAACTTGTAGCAAAATTGTAGCATTGAGAGAACTGGTTCAGAATTATAGCCCAACTGCTACTGGAGTGAGTGAGTGAGTGAGTGAGTGAGTGAGTGAGTGAGTGAGTGAGTGAGTGAGTGAGTGAGTGAGTGAGTGAGTGAGTGAGTGAGTGAGTGAGTGAGTGAGTGAGTGAGTGAGTGAGTGAGTGAGTGAGTGAGTGAGTGAGTGAGTGAGTGAGTGAGTGAGTGAGTGAGTGAGTGAGTGAGTGAGTGAGTGAGTGAGTGAGTGAGTGAGTGAGTGAGTGAGTGAGTGAGTGAGTGAGTGAGTGAGTGAGTGAGTGAGTGAGTGAGTGAGTGAGTGAGTGAGTGAGTGAGTGAGTGAGTGAGTGAGTGAGTGAGTGAGTGAGTGAGTGAGTGAGTGAGTGAGTGAGTGAGTGAGTGAGTGAGTGAGTGAGTGAGTGAGTGAGTGAGTGAGTGAGTGAGGTTTCACGCCGCTTTTAGCAATATTCCAGCAATATCACGGCGGTGAACACCAGAAATGGGCTTCACACATAAGTGACATTGCACCCATAACAGGAATCGAACCCGGGTCTTCGGCATGACGAGTGAAAGCTTTAACCACTAGGCTCCCCGACCGCCCCTACTACTGTTCAATGAGGACGACCATCATTGCATCAGCCCAAGTTAGCGGCACAACACGGTGTCATCTCAATCTCCGTCTCCATCTTACAAACCTGAGAAGGTGAAGCTGGGGAACTGGGTCATATCTTTGCCAGTTGCTCCGAATATTCTATCAATCTTTTCCAGCTCCTCCTTGAGACTCAGCTCCACCTTGGGTGTAGCATCCACCAGCTTGCCTCCTGCAGACCTGCACAACAGTTGTGTCAACACTGAGCATTGCTTGTTTGTATGTATGTTGTTTAACGCTGCACACAGCAATATACCAGCATATGATGCTGGTATGTAAATAATCTCAAATTCTCTGTGCTTCATACACAGTGAGTGAGTGAGTGAGTTTGGTTTAACACTGCTCGTAACAGTATTACAGTTATATCACGGCGTGTCAGCTTAATGTGGGAGGAAAGCCCGAAATGTGATGCAGGTCTCAGAAGTTTACCACTTCGGTGAAACCCACGAGCACGGGTATGGTGCTGACAAACCTAGAAACATAATCAGGGCGAACCAGGATTCGAACCCACAATCATAGTTTTCTGGCATGCCCAAGGGACAAAACTCTGCACAGCGAATCACGTCGCCTTAGACGACTGGGCCACCCATGCCCCCAAAAGAAACACAAACCATAGAAACATATTTAGAAGTATGTATGTTAAGAAGAGATGTTTCCAATGTGTACTACAGAGTGAACATTGGGAAACAAATACTTTTGAACAAGAATACGCAAAACAATACAAAGAAGAATAAAAGAGCTTGATTATTAACAGACCACTGTCATATAGCTGGAATATTGCTGAGTGCAGCGTTAAACAACAAACAAATAACAAATCATACAGCAAGCAAAACATCATCTTCCCAAGGCAAGAGAGTTAACTGACTATAAAAGTCCAGTTTCCACCCTTGCCGAACTAGGCTGGAATTACTGGGCTTGATCGTAGCGCCACCAGTGGCCGCTACCAGTTATGTCCCTTCTAAGCCTCTCCTATTGACCAATCAGATTTCACCTCTCGTATCACTTGCGTTTGCTTCACACAAAATGGTGGCGCCCAGTCAAGATGATCTGATCGATAATCAAGATCTATATTGTGATAAAACGGGTCTTACATCGTGAAATGCATCAAATCACGTGAGCACCTTGATTAAAAACATGAAAAGATTTGGAAAATATCTGCTGACGAGTTGGCGGTGCACATGCTTTGCAAATCCTGCAATCAACCGAAATCTGCATGGCAGTTTACGAACCGGATTTCGATTTAGGTGCGCGAATTTGATTGGACTATGCATTGACTCGTTAGTCCAGCCAAAATGTAACTCCATAATACCAGCCAACTTCAGCAAGGGTGGAAACTGGACTTTTATAGTCAGTTAACTCTCTTGCCTCAGGAAGATGGCAAAACATCAACAGATCAAGAGATTGAGGAATCACAACAACAAATGTAGAATGTCCTCGTGCCATAACATTTTGCAAATGTTCTTACTTGCTCTTTTGTGAGTATTCCCGAACTTTATCTACGAAAAGCTGCTGAATGGGGTCTGTCTTCTGCGCTGCTGCAGCAGTAACTCCAATATTCCTCTGAGCCTGCTGGATGACAGTTTGGCGGACAGCGCCGAGCCGGGATACTATCCGCGTCAACATCCTGGCAACAAACAAATCACTTATAGTCCACCGTCATTCTTTGTCAATTTGTTGTTGTTTAATGCCGCATTCAGCAATATTCCAGCTCTATGACGGCGGTTTGTAAGAAATCGAGTCTGGACAAGACAATCAAGTGATTGACATCATGAGCATCGATCCACGCAATTGGGATCGATGACATGCATCAACCAAGTCAGCGAGTCTGACCACCCGATCCTGTTAGTCGCCTCTTACGACAAGCATAGTCACCTTTTACGGCAAGCATGGGTTGCTGAAGACCTATTCTACCCCGGATCTTTATGGGTCTCATGACGTCTTAACTGACATGATGATTCATAGAAATAAATATATTGATTAGAATATCAACGAGACAGTCGGGCCACTTCAAGGAAAGTTTACTGGCCCAGTTTATAAGTCACTGGCATTTGGCTAGTGGGCAGGAAGCTTTTTGAACACTGAACCAGGATCAGGGTTTAAGCTTGGGTTGCTAAAGACCTATTCTACCCTGAATCTTCACAGGCCCCTTTGTCAATACTACACTATGTTCCTCCATCACCCGAGAATACATAAGCTGCTATGTGATGTAATCACTATTTTTAACCACAAAACAAGACACAGTCTAGAGAAACCAGAGCGCTCAGATTCCATTGCACAAACAGCAATATTTCTCAAGCTCTGCACACTGCATCAATCACTGAATCAGGCTATGGTAGGTTTGACCAGTGTTCCCCTGGCTTTTCAAACTGCTAGTCCTGGTGGACTGGCAACTCTAAAAAACACCAATCCCCTCCTAAATTTTGTCAGTCACAACTTCAACAATTAAAAAATTTATGAAAATTAATTTGCTATAATTCTTTCAACATCATGTTCAATGCAATGACGTCATCTCTGAAGTATACTTAGTTAGATCTACACATCATTCGCACAAAGTTCAGTCACAATTTTCTCTTTTTTATTTATATTTCAAGCCGAAGTCACTACAAATATACTTATAACCTCGAAGCAAATGTTGCTCCACCCATTGAGATACCATAACGCAGTTCAACATGAATATCCCACTCAGATATAAAGAGAAGTGATGCACATCTAAGACGTTTACCACTTCAGTGAAACCCAGGATCATGGGTATGGTGCTGACAAACCTAGAAACATAATCGGGGCGAACCGGGATTCGAACCCACAATCATGGGTTTCAAGCGTGTGCAAGGGATGCAACTCTCCACAGCGAATTGCAGTGCCTTAGACGACTGGGCCACCCCTGCCCCCATCCTACACATGGCAATTATAAGTGTCATCTTGATTATTGTCAGATTCACATGCCTCACATTTAATGCCTATATGATTAGAATCTCATGTTACAGTCCTAGATGAATTCTGTGTAATAATTATCAAAATTCTGCAGAAACATTTCCAAATTCTGCAGTAAAAACTATATATCGATTCTGCAGTAAAAACAACCATAGATCACTCAAAAATTAATACGAACTCATATCCATAGTGTCACTGTTATTTATTTATGGTTAGATCATGATTGATTAAAAAGGGAAAATTCCGCAATTTTTCTGTAAATCTATGGTAAGTTACATTTTTTGCAAATCATTAGGTGATTGCAGAACTCGTCTAGGACTGGTGTTAGGCTAGGTGAAGATCTAGGAGTCTTGACAATTGAACTTCATTCTCTCATATTGTCATAGATCACTGATACACATGTAGAAACTAGGCTAGAAATTTCATGATTCTGAATTATTACAGCGTCGCTACTTGATTGAGATACATTTTTTTTTAAACGAATGCAATATCAGTGGGATTGACACTGATTCACAATGTGATATGATTTTCTGACATCACCATACCATACAGCCAAGACAAACATTGGTTTGATCTTGGAGCAGTGAGTCGATGCAGCTTGCCATGGTCATTGAGAAACTGTCGAACACAATACACAATACAGCTTTACGCCTAAATAGTAATATTTAACTTAAAACAAGCTCTAATGCGACACATCAACAAAATAACTTAGAAGATCACATACTCTTTGAGTCGGTAACCTGCAATTCGGAATAGAGGACAACTCAACGAGGACGATACTACAACGCGAAAGAACGAGACCGGTGCCCGTGATTGCAAGTTAAAAACTATCTTCCAAACAACCTATTTGAATTCCATATACAGTGGTGTATTTTCTTTAGGGTATTAGACGATAGTTACGTTGTGTGGCACTGTGGAAATTAAACTCGAAACAAATAAATTAAATCTAGGTAATATAAGATATGTGTGCGCGTGTGTGTATGCATGCTGTGTGTATGCGTGCATGCCGCGAATAATCATTTGCCGTGTGAATGAAGCCAATTAAGTGTCTTTGGTGATGCTTAAACATAATGATAATAGCACTGGAATTCCATACGCAATTAAAATACGACAAGCACGGGTTTTTGAAGACCAGTTCTACCTCTGATCGTCACGGGGAGCCAAATACACGACACTATACCCAATCGAGCCCTCCTGATGACTGAACATACCCAAACACCCATCCTCGAGTATCTAGTGCGTTAAATTTGCGTTCTGTTATGAATAAATACCGTGGACGTTTTAGCTAGTAAATAATAATGATACAATAATTATTAGTAAAAATGTTTCTTTTTAAATAATAATGCTGCAAAAAGATAAGTTGTCCCCATGTTTAACACAATAACACACATGCTGGGTGTTTTGGAAACTACTCTTTGTTTGTTTGTTTGTTTGTTTGTTTGTTTACCACCGCACCCACCAATATGCCAGCTATAGTATGATAGAGGTCTTTAAATAATCGAGTCTGGATCAGACAATCAAGTGATTGACCATCCGTCAGTTAGAAAATAATGTTTGACATGAGGAAAGAAACACGACACGTGACAACCCGGATGTGTAGCTGGAGGAAGTCCGGGGTATCACAACTACATCCTCATCCGATTGTTTCTTTGTCGATCGTAATATTTCTGTCATCTGTGTAATATTTCTGTAGCCTGAAACATTTCTGTCATCAGTGATATTGCTAATCGTGTCCGGATCAGACAATCCAGTGATTGACCTCGTAAGCATCGAATCTGGATCAGACAATCCAGTGATTGACCACGTGAGCATCGAATCTGGATCAGACAATCCAGTGATTGACCTCGTGATCATCGATCTAAGCAATTAGATGACATGCATCAACTAAGTAAGTATCCCGTCAGTTGGAAATTAATGTTTGATATGAGGGAAGAAACACGTCACCTGATAACCCGGATGTGTATCTATGTCACCATAAGCTTGTTTCTATGTCAATTGTACAAATTCTGTCATCTGTGTAATATTTCTGTCGCCTGAAACATTTCTGTCACATGTAATATTGCTGTCATCTGTGGCATTTGTCATCTTTAACATTTCTCTCATCTGTGATATATCTGTTATCAGTGGTATTTCTGTTATCTGTAATATTTTCGTCATTTGTCATTTTTCTGTCATCTGTAATATTTGTGTCTTTTGTAATATTTCTGTCATTTGTGTAATATGTCTATCATTGAAGTATTTCTATCATAGGTACTATTTCTGTCATCTGTAATATTGCTGTCGTCCGTAATATTTCTGTCATCAGTGATATTTCTGGCATTTGTAATATTTCTGTCATCAGTAATATTTCTGTCATCAGTAATATTTCTGTCATTTGTGTAATATGTCTATTATTGAAGTATTTCTATCATAGGTAATATGTCTATCATCAGTAATATTTCTGTCATCAGTAATATTACTGTCATCTGTAATATTTCTGTCATTTGTGTAATATGTCTATTATTGAAGTATTTCTATCATAGGTAATATGTCTATCATCAGTAATATTTCTATCATCTGTAATATTGCTGTCGTCCGTAATATTTCTGTCATCAGTGATGTTTCTGTCATTTGTAATATTTCTGTCATTTGTGTAATATGTCTATCATCAGTAATATTTCTGTCATCTGTAATATTTCTATCATCTGTAATATTACCGTCGTCCGTAATATTTCTGCCGTCCGTAATATTTCTGTCATCAGTGATATTTCTGTCATATGTGTAATATGTCTATCATTGAAATATTCTATCATCAGTAATATTTCTGTCGTCCGTTATATTTCTCCTAACGCTTACCTGTTTACTGCATGCTTCCTCGGCCAAATCACTTTGTGACTTGGATATCATACGCAACAACACCGCCCCCCCCCCCCCCCCCCCCCCAGCCCCGACACACACACACACACACACACACACACACACACACACACACACACACAGAGAGAATGCATTACCATGCGTGTTAATAATTAAGCGGGGCGGTCGGGTAGCCTAGTGGTTAAAGCGTTGGCTCGTCACGCCGGAGACCCGGGTTCGATTCCCGACATGGGTACAATGTGTGAAGCCCATTTCTGGTGTCCCCCGCCATGATATTGCTGAAATATTGCTAAAAGCGGCGTAAAACCATACTCACTCACTAATAATTAAGCTGAATGCATTTCAATGCGTGTTAATAATTAAGCTGAGGGCTAAATATGTTTTTGATGTGTCACTCTTTGTAAAAAAAGGGAGACGAAAATGAAATTCAACCTTTGACTTGTTGGCATCCGCGAACGGCACTGCGGCATCCGGAATACCATAAGGACTTGGCATCCTCATATAAACCTTGTCTCTTTAGAAGGACACGTGTTACGTCTCCACAGAAATATGAGACAAATACGTTGATTGTTCTTCGGGGTTTTATTTCAAAGCAATGAGATGAGATTCAAAGTATATACATCTTGGTGTCTTCTTTCCAGTGCAACCTAATTAGGATATCTTGTATTGAAAATTACATTTGAGAAATGAAGTCAAAGGGAGGTAACTTAGTTGTGAATAATATTTGCTATGGCGTAATATTTTAGAAATTACTCATATATTTATTATGAAATTGCCATAGTAAAGAGATGACTCACACGAAATTAACGATTTGTAACAGGCTAATTTCTGTCAAAACAAGCATTGAAGCTAGTTTTATGGGAAGTACATTTGTGCGGATGTCACGTGATCTTAGGTGGTGAATTTTGCGCTTTTGTGTTCAATTTCCGTTTATCGCAAGTTTCCGGTTCGATATACTACAAAAACAACGAATATTTCAGTTGCCAGCACGATTTTAGTAAACGTAAGTATCTAATACTTTAGAAGAAGTTAGTATAAGTTGAAACCGACATTATTCTTATCTGAAAATTGAGTTTTCTTAGCATGCCACAGGCCGATGCACAGTCTATCGCAAACAGGATGTTGAGCGTGTTTGGCTTGGCCGGAAGTTTTCGATATAAACAGTAAGCAGACATCTATTTCCTCCCATGCTTCGGATATTTAATGAAGCAACGCAGTGGTGATAATTAAGAAGTCGCAACAACATGTATTTACCACTCGGAATTTTGGCAGAAATGTCGTTTTTCTATCCGCCATTTTTTCCGGTTGCCAAACTACAACAGTGTCGCTGTAGAGATTGTGTTCAACCCGGACACAGATTGGTATTTTCACTTCTTCCTGCAAGTTGAACAGGCCGTAAATTGTCGTCTGTTAGTGTCAGTGCTGTCACGTATGTAAATATCATCGCGTAATGTTGAACTTTGATTGTCATGTATGTTCTTATTGTCAATGACGAAAGGTTTTGACGTCATGTGTAGACATTTTTATCGAAAGGACAAAATGATGGGACATATAATTTTTGGTTCCACTGAAATTTTCAAATTTCCAAAGTGCAAATTTTTCATTTTGAGATGTTGATGTAGAGTAGATTCTATGAACCTATAACCATTTTCAGCACATTTCTTTTTAATACAAGTGATTATTTTTGAGGAGTGGCAAACTACAGTTCAGATATTTTGTGGAAGTTGCATCTGAGGTCATGGATGGCATACATATATATGCTCTCTGCCTCATGTCATTCATTCACCTGATGAAGGAGTAAACATATACTCCGAAACGTTGTGTTCCTCATAATAATGAAGTTGACATCCAAAAATTCTCTTCCTTAAATGTATCACTTCTAAATGCCTTTCAAAAACCTAGCTAAGTGTTGTTACTATGTCATGTTTAGCACCATTTTGCATACAACAACTAACTCATGAAAGAAATTTTTTTTTGCTTCTGTCATTTATACTCTTTACTTTAGCTTCATGACAAATTTAAGATGTTGATTTTACATGATTAGAGTACACAGACAGACTTTTGCCACTAGTTTGAAGCCTGTGTCAGGTAAATTTCCGTTCAGGCTAGTAAAGTTCTGTTCTGTCTAGACAGCTGAGTATCTTGCAGTCTCACCGGAAGTGAAGTGATCCATTACATGTCCTATGTCCTCACTGTCCATGTTCCTGTTATAGTGAATTATTAATTTAGTATTGAGAATCATAAATTTGAATCAATACAGTATCATAAAAAAAATTACCAATACATCGATGTTAGAATATACAATGAGATCCCAACTCTATATAGACTGGAACCATTGATTAACTTTAAAGAAACCAAAGAAAAGCAATTAGAACATGTAGAATGATAACATTTGAGTATGGCTCAAAATATTATTAGAAATGAACTGTTGTTGCAGCTGGTAGATAATGAAGCGGGCTGCGTCCCCCCCGGTGGTCGTCAATGAAGATGGCACTGTGGAGATTCAAGTGCTGGAGGAGAAGCGGGCTCGTACAGAGGAGGAAGTCTGTATTGACGAGGGGTAGGTTCCATGTGTTGACTGTATTACTATACCGATGCTCAGTGTTTGACATCTGAAAAATGCCCAGCCACAATCAGGACCAACAGATTTTAGAACCTGTAGCCCCTCTAAGCTAAAGTTGAACAAAGCATTGAAAATACTTTTGATTAAAAAAAATTGAAATTCACAATCCGCAATCCCAAACAATTTTTAATACATACATATATATATATATCAATTTTACCATAAATAAGGCTAAAAATAAAATAGTCTCGTTTCTCAGGCACCGCTGCGTCATCACAAAGTCCACAGCACATTTCGTTTATATTTTCATTCCAAACTTGGATAAAAGCAGGAATCCGGAATAATCTTTTTGCCATTTGTATTTTGGTCCACCTCATATTTGAGAGTTACCATGGTTACTGTTGGACTTTAACGTTTGAATAAAATAAAATGTAAAAAGTCAACTTATCATGCTTATGCTTTCTTGAGTATAGTGCACACATTTTCCATTAAACACACCACAATGAGTTTTGATGTTTTTTCCCCAATGCAAATTATTTAAAAACATTCACATGGAACACTGGAAATACCATGTCAACAAATCAGCACTCACTTAACCAGTTTGATCCTGTTATTACACTCTCTGGCAATGAAAAGTGTTCATTGTATGTATGGAAAATTTCATTCAGTGTTGTTTGTAAACATTAATTTCGATGGAATCATATGTGAAATGACTTACCATTATTTACAACAACCACGGTCACATTTAGGATATTGACGCCTTGAAATGAACTGTACTTGACACAGAATGGATACATATATCTAAAATGCCACGCTTTGACTCATCAAAAGTCATAATTGTTGTAGTTTGACTATATTTGTCAGGATAACACGGTATAACATTTTCGCAAGTCCGCGGGAAGCCCAATCTCATTAAAATCAGATCTTAGTTCTCGCTACTGCAAAAACAAGATCTGATGACATCCCATTAGGGGTCACGTCAGAATGACCTTTCATCCGACCAATCAGAGCATCGCTTACCAGATCATGAAAGTGACAGTTGGAATGTGATTTCTAATCATGCAACGTCAAAAACTTTAACACAGGGTATTCCGGACGATAGTTATGGGCTTAACAACTGAATCTGTACAATATAGACAGCCATTCCAAAATGTTTATTTGTTCAGGTTTCAAATTTTTAATCGAGTATTTGTCAAAATGTTTCGAAGGTAGTCGCCAATTTGTAATTAGTGCTGTAAAGCACGAGAAAGCTGCCTTCTAATGTCGACTTCATGTCAGTCATTCCATTGGTCGGTCAAAGTTCGCTAAAGGTCGGTCTGGCGTGACCCGTCATGGGATGTCCTCAGATCTTTGTTTAGCGGTAGCGAGAACTAAGATCTGATTTCAATGAGATTGCGGGAAGCCTTACAAATGTTTTTATTTGGAAAATATCCAAGACTGTCGTCATGTAGTTAGAATACTCCTGGGAATGGCGTTGAACAACAATCAAAGAAACAGAACCCAATAGATGGGCCCAGATATGTCTGTGGAGACCTAATCTTGGCTGTATTTCAGTGTTATATACGAAGAGGAGATGATTCAGCCTCAGCAGCCTCCTCCTCAGTATCAGAACCTCATCATACAACACATGGACATTGCAGAGCCTCTGCTCACACTCAAGCGCCTCCTGGAAGTGCGGCTACAGTGCTCCCTTGCAGAGCACCAGTTCTATTTGCAAGACAGCATACAGGTAAGATCAGGCTTTTTCCCATCGTCATTACTTCCCAGTCTAGTAGTAATTACAGGGTTCGAACTTCCTCGTATTAAAGTGCCATTGGCCAGGCTGAAGGGCACCTTGTCATTGTTTGAATTATTTGAAGCCAATGAGAAAAGTAGTCCAAAGCCTCAGTTTCCAAAAAGTTTCTGTCCAGTAAGCTCATGCTATAGTCCATATAATAATTCATAGCACACAAATTGGCTCATGTTATAGTCCATATAATAATTCCTAGCACACAAATTGGCTCATGTTATAGTCCATATAATAATTCATAGCACACAAATTGGCTCATGTTATAGTCCATATAATAATTCATAGCACACAAATTGGCTCATGTTATAGTCCATATAATAATTCATAGCACACAAATTGGCTCATGTTATAGTCCATATAATAATTCATAGCACACAAATTGGCTCATGTTATAGTCCATATAATAATTCATAGCACACAAATTGGCTCATGTTATAGTCCATATAATAATTCATAGCACACAAATTGGCTCATGTTATAGTCCATATAATAATTCATAGCACACAAATCTACTAACAGTAATGACAAGAGACACATTCAGGCAAGTACAGCTGTTTATTTAGACCTGTTCAGAGGCCTGGATTTAAAAACAAAAGAAGAGCGTGTGTGAGGGTTGTGATTATGATGGAACTCTGTGGTATTGTGTTGCCAGCTGGATGCCAACAAAAGCCTTGTAGATCAGTGTGTGCAGGGAGACGGCATGGTGCAGATCAACCTGGAAGTCAAGTCACAGCCAGGTGCGCTCACGGTCGCTGCAAGCTCGTACGACCACATGCTTCTCGACTGTACCGTATTCGACGTAATAAGCACCCCACTCTAATAAGCGCCCACGGCGATATTTGCTAGTGCACGGTCCCAGTTAGAACCCCTTCCGTTTGATCAATGTACACAAGACTTATTTATTTGTGTATAATGCGCACTCGTGTGTTATATGCACCCTTAATTATGGGCAATTAAATTCTGGAAAAAATATATCTGTCGTATGTAAACATTTCAAGCTGTCAGTATAAACCACGAAATTTACAATTTCTCAACTCCGTTTTTTTCACCAAAATAATTTTCTAATAAGAGCCCCCTATTTCTAATTTTGAGAGAGCCCTGGACGCTTATTACGTCGAATACGGTAATTCATAGTCTCTCATGCTTAGTGGGATGCTGGGTTAAACAGGTAACAGCAACCCTTGCACGAAGCCAGTAAATAAAACGGTTGATCATGCGTATTTTGTGTCATAAATTCCTTTGGACGTTGCTCATAATATCGATCACTGGTTTGTCTGATGCAGTCTCCATTTATTTAGAAGCTGCCATCATGTAGGTAGATAATTGCTGAGTGGACTAAAAATAGTTTAGAGAGGAAATGGTGTAAATGCCCCACTGATAGAGATATTAACAGATTCAAAAGACAGAAACATTTGTATTGTGATAGAACTATTAGAAGTACAGTTTTAGAAATTAGCAATCATATCGTCCTTGCCAAAATGTCCAATAGTCGAGGTATCCTAGTTGAACTTTGGACTAGTAGAACTGTGCCTTTGTAAAGGGTTTTGCTATATGTTATAAGCTCATCATTATAAGGACTAGTGGGCTAAAATTGTTAGTTTCTATCGCTGAAAGTATGTAAATACAGCGTTGGAAATTGGCACTAGTCCTGTAGTCCTTGCCAAATTGCCCAATAGTTAAGGTATCATAAGGACCAGTAGAAATTTGCAATCTTTAAGGGTTTTGCTATATGTTATCATTATAAGGACTAGTGGACTAAAAATGTAAGATTCTACTGCTGAAATATGTCCTGTGATGTAGTGTAGTTGTCAAGACTACTGCCATGTAGTAAGGCCGTGTTGATGTTGTGTATAACTATCTCCCTCAGCAGGTGTCAAGCCTAAAATTAACATCCTGGACATACTGAAGACAGCAGACGAGGTGGAGACGCAGCCAGTAGAGCCAGGTAGGCAGCTGTTCATCATGTCTTTCGGGTGTCGGAAGAGAGTTGCAGCCTCAGAAGTCCTCAGAGTTTGGTGCTAGTCGTGCTTTAATAAGGTTGAAATGTTTACTCTATTTTCATTTTCTGTCAGGTTTATTCAGTTTCACTTAGAACATGTTGAAGCTAATTTGAAGCATTGAAAACCGGTTCAGAATTATAGCCCTCAAATGTGGCTATTCACCGAGAACTGCCATCTTTGAGTTTTTGCTTGTCCTCAGCACAATTTTGTTGTCTCTGGCTAGCGGACAAGCATGAATTTCGAAGGGTGGCCTGTAAGCATCTTCTCTGAAACCACTGGATCAAACTGAAATTTCACATGCTTGTTCGCATCAATGATGATACCCGAATTTGTTCACGAGGTTTGAATCTGATTTTCAATATGGTGTGTGTGGTGTTGCTCATAATATCCACCACTGATTTACATAGTCGGAACCTGAGTATTGACTGGCAGAAATATTGCTGTGTCATGTCATGAACCATTCACTCACTCTTGAAAGTATGCGCCTGTATGAGTAACTGGCCCTAATCCTTTTGTAGAATTTCCATTTACCTGGAGGGGCGGTCGGGTAGCCTAGTGGTTAAAGCGTTCGCTCGTCACGCCGAAGACCCGGGTTCGATTCCCGACATGGGTACAATGTGTGAAGCCCATTTCTGGTGTCCCCCCACCGTGATATTGCTGGAACATTGCTAAAAGCGGCATACTCACTCACTCACTCCAATTACCTGGTAGTCACAGGCTTGTAAACACAATAGCTGTGAAAGAAGATAAAGATGAACCCATAGATATTGCACACAGGGATTTATGTAAGATTCCAAACTAAGTGCCCTTGGCAGGTAAATTGGGGGGAAAATGTTAAAATTTGTAAAATTTGATACTGCACTGTTACACTGCATTCAGTGGGCGGTCGGGTAGCCTAGTGGTTAAAGCGTTCGCTCGTCACGCCGAAGACCCGTGTTCGAATCCCGACATGGGTACAATGTGTGAAGCCCATTTCTGGTGTCCCCTGCCGTGATATTGCTGGAATATTGCTAAAAGCGGCGTAAAATCATACTCACTCACTCACTCACACTGCATTCAGTGTAATGATGTGAAATTGAGACTGTTCCTCTTAGTTCGCATGTGTAATCAGTGGAATACAGGTCACCAAGCCACCACAAACAATATTTACATGAAACAGGAACTTATTAATTCCCAATTTGACATTTGCTTGATTGTGTCTGAATATCGGCCTCTGAGCTGGTCTAGATAACTCCCTGGCGTTATTGATCACCCTATCGACAGTACATAGATATGACATGTACTTTCACATGTTCCAAGTGGATGACTCGCTATCACAGTTTTGCTTTCAGTTTCCTTATGTTAAGTTTCTATCCTCAGTCCCGGCAGCAACTCAGCAGATTCAACAGGCTAACACAAAGGTAGTTATCCCGCTACCAGAGGAGTCGGAGAATGTCACACGGTGGATCGTGGACCAGAACTTCCGCCGGGAACAGGAGAGGCTGAAGATACCCTTTGGTGAGTAGCTCGTGCATCAGTTTTTTGTGGAGAGGTTGGGATAGCACAGTGGTGAAGGTCTTCCCCGTCTTACCAAAGGCCCAGGTTCTATTTTCTACATGGGTAGAATGTGTAAAGCACATTTCTGGTGTACCTTAGTCATCATATTGCTGGATTATGGCTAAATGTGGCGTAAAACCGTGGTCACTCAGATTATTGTGGGCAACAGTGACACAGTGGGTGATTACTTTGTAATAGGGTTACTGAAGTAATGTGTGGGTTCTGCTGATACATGCAGAGCTACAGATAAGCCGCATATTTGCGTAAAATACCCTCTAAAATATTCAAAACCAAATTACTTTCAATTAACTTGCATACAGAAAAGCATGCATTATCCAATGAAAAATGTAAAAACTGTAAATTGGCGAGCTAAATACAGTGTTTATTCCTAATACAGGATATATACCATCCCCAAACACACAAGCGTGATAACCTCTTTGTCATATAATGTCATTCTTTAATTCTGTGCTTGAAAATCGCTTTCCCTCTCTCACAAACATTACCGAAACATTGTGTGTTTTCCTGGAATGTGCGCATCAATATTTATTACGTCACAGGGTAGGTAATGTGTCGGTCAGACAGTGACAGTAGCCAATAAAGTTCCAACTGAAATCTGTTTCTTATACAGTGGCGAAGCAACATATACGCAAAACAACAACTGTTTTTACTTGCCTTTTGCGGCAATCCATCGGTCTGTCTGCTAGAGTAACTGTCCTTTCTCAAAGGGTTACTCTAACCCTAGTCTATGAGACGTCACGGCCACATTCTGACGTTGACAGTCGGTCTGTCCTGTCATAACGTTAAGAAGTGCAGTCATTTGTACACACAACGTCAAAACAAAACAAGGTAACAATTCAAACATATTTCGGCCAAATCCAACTATTTTGATTTGTGGAGAAGGTTTCAAGCCGCAGAGGTCTACAAGCACAGATATGGCTGCTGATCCCGCTAAGGTAGGCTTCGTGCCCTCGCAAAATGGTTTCGGAAAATATATCTCCAAAGTTGCCAAAACTTATAAAACACCTTAGCTACGTCACAGTAAGACACTGATTTTCAGTATATTAGACTGTTCTTTTGATAATTATAGCAATTATCCCTGTAGTTTATCCAGATTCCCGATGGTCATCGTCTAGGATCGCATTGCTTTAGACTTACTCAGCTGCAAGATTGATGATGCCTCATTCAGCAATAATCACTCACTAGTGATGAAACTGATCTACTGTTCAGAGAAGTGTCAATCTCAACTCACTGTTGTACAGACCCAGTCCAGTGGAGCGAGGTGCATGTTCGGCACTGGATACAGTGGGCAGTGAAGGAGTTCGCGCTGCAGGCTGTGGACATCGACAGCTTCCGGTTGGACGGCAAGCAGCTGACCGAGCTCACACACCCAGAGTTCATCAACTTCATCCCTCATGACCCGGGCGACATTTTCTGGACCCATCTTGAGCTGCTCCGAAAGTGTAAATTTGTTGGTAAGTAAGACCTTTACGGCTCTCTTCTACTGGGCATAATGTCCCCATGGGCTGCAGACAGCCTAATGTGTTTCCTCAAATTAGAGTTCGGCTGTCTCTGCCATTGCTTCTCTCATGCACTTAAACAATGATGCAGTTTATGTTAGTAGATTATATAGGTATATCCTTGGTTATCCAATAAACTATCAACTAAAATAAAATACTAATTACAATAATATTCATGTATTTCGGTTCATTGTTGACCTTTTTAAGAAGGAATTATTTGTGAGTACAATTAGTAGCAGACATTTATTTTTGTGTCTAAATATGTGTAGCAATAGAATTTAGTCGCCTCAAGATATTTTTCAAGGTAGTCATTTGGCTATCTCTGAATTTTAGAAAGTAGACAAATTGAAAATTAGGTCACATTGGCGACCATTTTAGTCGCAACTTTGAGGCCTGTAAGTCCCCGCCTTTTAAATATGTTGTTGGTGTGTTTCAGCCGTGATGCAGCAGCCGACACCTCACGCCATCACAACCATCACAGTTTCCACGTCGGACACAGAAAGTAGGTTGTGGCGAATACATTGTGCAGTGTTTTCTAATTTTAAGACTTATATGAAGATCTATCAGGTTGTCGGGCTCACTGACTTGGTTTATGCATGTCTTTGTATCCAAATTGTGTCTGGATTTTCTGATCCAGGCTTGATGATTGACCATGTTTGTAGAACACCGTCATAGAGCTGGAATATTGAGGAGGGTGGTGTTAAACAAAAAGAAACACAATGCTATTTAACTACACAGTATCAGACACTGTTGACAAATGACGTGTGAAGTGTTCTCACTGATAATGGAACTATTGGTACATAGGTGGATGTCGTGTTGTGGATGCATTCATTAATATTCCGGCCATGAAGATCCGGGGTAGAACAGGTCTTCAGCAACGCAGGCGTGCCGTAAAATACGACTATGCTTGTCGTAAGCGGTGACTAATGGGATCAGGTGATCAGGCTCGCTGACTTGGTTGATGCATGTCATCGTATTCATATTGCGTGGATTGATGCTCATGATGTCAATCACTGGATTGTCTGGTCCAGACTCGATTAATTTTACAGACCGTGCCGTCATATAGCTGGAATATTGCTGAATACAACAAACCAACCAAACCAATCCATCAATATTCCAGCTATATTATAGCAGTCTGTAAAAAAGAGTTTGGACAGACAGTTAGTATACATCATGGGCTAAGATCTGAGTGTGCCTGCGTGCGCCTTCGTGCGCCGCAACAATCCATACAGTTGAGGTACCGTGATACATGCTTAGCTAGTTCACACAGTGACCGATAGATCCTGATTTGGCTCTTACACCCGTGGACATGGCTTAGATTGATCCCCAGCAACCCGCGCTAGTTGTACAAGGCAAATCAGTGGATTGCTTGGGCAGATTTGTTGGCTTTGTTGATTACATGTCAGTTTACCCTGTCTGGAACATTGCTGTGTGAACAAACAAAGCTGGCTCTTCCAACATGGGATCTTTGGGGATCCATGTACAAACTGTTCACTGAAACTCAGTGTGATTCCTGGGCATGCCCTTCAGTGTCATCGATCCCAATTGCGTGGATTGATGTTCATGATATCAATCACTGGATTGTCTTGTCAAGACTCGATTATTTACAGACGTCCGTAATAAAGCTGGAATATTGCTGAGTGCGGCATTAAACAACAAAGCAACCAAACCAAATCATTCAATACACATGAGCATTCACAAATGATAAGGCTGACCTCAGGTTAACTGTGTGGATGTTGTTTTTGCAGATCGTGTGAGATCATTATCCAAATCTTCCCGTCCAAGGTCTCCAAGAATCACAGGAGAAGAACGTTTATCTCCAGGAAACAGAACTGGTGGGTGCTTCAGTGTTCATTCTAGAGCTAGGCATTGCCACATCTTTTTTCAGTAATGATGTAAGAATTATAACCTATTGCCAGTTGGGCACATGGTTTCCAGTAGGGTTAGAATAGGTTTCCAATAGGGTTAGAATAGGTCTTCAACAACCCATGCACCATCACCTAGCATCACTTCAGGCTTTCCTCCCACATTAAGCTGACATGCCGTGATATAACTGGAATAATGTTAAAAGCGGCGTCAAACCCATCTCAATCACTACAGACCACCTTCATATAGCTGGAATATTGCTGAGTGTGGCGTTAAACAACAAACCACCCAACTAACCAACATATTCCATAGTTTACGAGCCTTCTGTTGGTTTCTTTGGTAGGCGTGAAGGTGGAGTTCATTAGCAAACTCGGTACAGTGTATTCAAGGGAATGGTTGGAATTCCCGGTAAACAATGTCGGAGCACCAGTTGACATAATAATGAGGATGACATTTCTAAAGACAGTCCACTTGGTCAAATTATTTGCATGGCTCAATATTTTCCCAAATTGCATTATTTTTGCCATAAAAATTGTTTGATCAATTGGTTTATTTCAGTTGGAAAAAATAAATGCTTATTCTGTGTGAACTACTTTGATTTAGTATTTTGCTGATTCTGGCTCTGGTTGATTGAATTTGAAAACCAAATCATGAAAAAAGGTGGTCTAATTGTAATTTATGAGCAAATTCAACATAGCAAATCTGAAGCACTATGATATCAAGATTTTGAAAGAATAAGGGAAGACAAGAAGAAATGTTAGAAAAGACCACTTTGAAACTGACTTCCTCTGAACAAAGTCGGACAATCTCAAGGACTACGGTATCAAGATTTTGAAAGAATAAGGGAAGACAAGGAGAAGAAATGTCAGAAAGGACCACTTTGAAACTGACTTCCTATGAACAAAGTCCGACAATCTGAAGCACTATGGTATTTTGAAAGAATCTGTGAAGACAAGCAGATGTTTTAGAAAGAACAGGTTTGAGACTGACTTGATGTGTGTTTCAGGGAACAACGGTCAGATCCAGTTGTGGCAGTTCCTCCTGGAGCTACTGACGGACAAGGACTGCCGGGAGATTATCCAGTGGGTCGGGGACGAGGGGGAGTTCAAGCTCAACAACCCCGAGATGGTGGCCCAGTTGTGGGGGCAGAGGAAGAACAAGCCCACCATGAACTACGAGAAGCTCAGCCGTGCCTTACGTTACTACTACGATGGAGATATGATTGCTAAGGTGAGTGTTAACCAAACAGCGTTACTAGTACCCCTTGTAGAGATTCCAGGTTGGAATAGATCCCCCAGAAACCTCATCTTCCCGAGGCAAGAGAGTTAACTGACTTTAAGAGTCCAGTTTCCACCCTTGACGAACTAGGCTGGAATTCCTGGGCTCGGTCGTAGCGCAACCACTGGCTTACGAGTTATGTCCCTTCTATGCCTCTCCTATGGACCAATCAGATTCCACCTTTCGTATCACTTGCATTTGCTTCAAACAAAACAGGGGCGCCCAGTCACGACAATCTGATCGATAATCAAGATCTGTATATTGTGATAAAACGAGTCTTACATCGAGAAATGCATCAAATCATGTGAGCACCTGGATTAAAAACATAAAAAGATTTAGAAAATATCTGTTGACAACAAGTTAACAGTGCACATGCTTTGCAAATCCTGCAATCAACCAAAATCTGCTTGACAGTTTACGAACCGGATTTCGATTTCGGAACACGATTTTGATTGGACTATGCCTAGACTCGTTAGTCCAGCCAAAATGTAACTCCATAATACCAGCCTAGTTCGGCAAGGGTGGAAACTGGACTTTTATAGTCAGACTCATTGAGAGGATACAATCCTTCCCAGACTCATTGGATGGTTGCTTACTGGTCCAGATCTTTTGACAGGCAGATTGGAATATTGTTAAGGGCCATGTTACACAACAAAGAAAGATATGTTATGCAATAGATTTCCTCAAACATATTTGTTGCTAAGGGTGCGCAGTATTAACGGTATATTGGTAAATTGAGGTTCATTCTTTCCACGATACTTACCACAATATGATTTTGAATGCTTGGTATTTTGGATGATTTCAAATAGCGACTTTTATCATGTGTTTAATGTGATACACTGTAAGTGTAATACTTGCCAAATACATGTACCTTCGAAATGTTCCGTAATTCCAAAATGTTGGTTTCGCATTCTGGAGTTCGTCTGTGGCAGTGGTGTAACATCAAGTCGTCACTGTCCCAGAGTTTTCATCCTTGCGTATGTATTGAATGAGTAAATATTATTGTTGTACCGGCATCTTGTTTTATTCAATTTATAAACTTCAATTCATACATTGATGTTTCAAATTGCTTCTTAGTTCAAAAATTTAGAATTATACAATACATTGTGATACATATCACAATATGGTCTTGTGCATCGTAAAATATTGTGATACACTTGAAACACCCCTATTTGTTGCACACAAAGAGGGCGTGGGGTAGACTAGTGGTTGAAGAGTTCACTCGTCACTCTGAAGACCTGAGTTGGATTCCCCACTTGGGTACAATGTGAGAAGCCCATTTCTGGTGTTGGCTAGCCTAGTGGTTTAAGCGTTTGGTTGTCACGCTGAAGGCTCGGGTTCCTTTCCCGACATGGGTACAATGTGTGAAGCCCATTTCTGGTGTCCCAAGCCGTGATATTGCTAGAATATTGCTTAAAGCGGCATAAAACCCATCTCACTCACACTTACATTAAAAGAATTACCTTGGTGTATAACATGGTTTTCTGTATGTTTGCCAGGTGCATGGGAAGAGGTTTGTGTACAAGTTTGTGTGTGACCTGAAGATGTTGCTAGGCTACAATGCAGGGGAGCTGAACCGACTGGTCGGGGAGTCGGCCGAGAAGAAGCTACAACGAGTGCGGGAGAACCTACGCCCCCTGGGTGTCAAACGTGTGGATCAGAAGACACAGACCATGTGCTAGACTGTGACAAGCCTTACCTGTGTAAACCAGTAGCATAGTGTGCTGTCCAGTGGCACCAGAACTATTCTCGTTCACACAGAACGTGTGGACACGAAAACAATGACCAACCGGTGCCATGACTGGGCGCCCCGATTTACTTGATGACCAGTGGGCAGCTACAGTGCTTTGTACAGATAAACTGAATTCCATTGTGAGATCTCAGCTGGGCGGTCAGCTATGTGCTGCCAATCTGTCCTGGGCTCTGTGTGTGTTTGTGTGAGAGTGTGCGAGAAGAATTAGTTAACACCTGAATCTTCAATCATTTCAGTTAACTTATACAACATGCTGTTAGGGGAGCATGATTTAAGGTAAAAGGATAAGCCAATATTTGGTACCTAAAGATAGGATGATGAAGAAAACATGTTTTGTTCCCCTTAAATTCGTAGTAGTTCCTTGACAGCAGTATTTTTTATTATAGTTTATGGAATTTGAGGGTTTGATCTGTGATTTGAAGTTACAATTAGGTAATGTTTTGTCAATTCAATTAATTCAAACATTTTGGCAACTTATTGCCAAGACTTACTGGAGAACTCCCTGACAAAGCCTCCATGACTTGGTTGATTGATCCAAATGAAACCGTGATGGTTATGTTCGTAACATGTCTGATGCATTGATGCATCCTACGTTTCATCCCCTGTCGGGAAAGTGGCTTATAAAGGACGGTACAGCTGTTGTTGCTGTTTCCACAATACATTTTAGCATATCTTGAGTCAATTTTGATAAAATATTTGTGTACAAAATATTGCTTTGAAAAAGTGTGAACATCGCAAGTATGATCACTCCAACTGACGACAGTGTTTATTTACTTCCTTGTTCTGTTTTTATTCTTGCTTTAAGACACTGTTTCTGAATGGTTGATCAGACTACCAAGGAAACCAATTGAAATGGGTATGGTAAGAAGTCTTGGTAGGTCACACCAACTGCTCAGTTTATAATTCAGGACAAGTAGACTTTGTCTCCAGACATGTGAATATTTACTATGTGTTTGTCCAGGGACGAGTTCACAATTTCTGTATTTCCACAGCCCAGAAGAACCCCTTTGTCATTCATTAAACAGCAACAGCATTCCTCAGTAAGTCGGCAAGATAGCGGAGAACCCAATCTCAAGATATGCATTGTTTTCATCCTTTATATTCTGTTGTTGCTTCCATTATCATGTCCCTCATGTTTTGAACATTTGTAAATATTATTTAAACATTTCCTGACTCAGTTCCTTATCAGTGCTAAGAAACCTGTTTTACTGTATGAAATACCTACTTAATTCTGATAAGGAACCCTGTTTCTACACTGCTTTGCATGGGATGAATGATTTCATATGGGCTGGAATTTACCATTGTGCTGCATGCATTTAATGAGGTGGGGTTAGTTTAGTTTATTAAATTAATATTTTTACTTAACACATGCAGAAACAATGTTAAACGCAATCATCATTATCATATCATCAACGCCCATTTCAGAATTTAAGAAAACAAATTTGAACACAAATTTGCTGAAATTTCATTCTGCATATATGACATGGGATTACTAGAGGAACCGGTTTTTCTCAAGTCATTGTTTGAGACCAAATATTTTATATACTGGTGCACAGACATATAGATATGAACAGGATGGGTACTTTGGAGGCATTGTATTGGTGCTTTGTTGATCCTTTGAAAGTAGTGTTTGGTTAAAATATTGAAAAAGTAAGTCTTGGGTAAAATAGTGTTCTACTAATAGGTTATTTATTGGTGTAGGATTTCATTTGAAAGACTTGATTCAATTTCAATTTCATGCCACTTAGAAATGCTTATGACAACAGCAAAGAAAATGTTTTTGCTGCACTAGCTTGCATGGTGTGGGGATCTGCCGTCATGGGTGAAGGTGTTCACTTCCTGTAGACAAACACCACCTATTTTACAAGACAATGCTGTCAAGAGGCATTTAGGTTATTACTTATTCTAGTCAAAAACATTTTCATGTTTCCAATAATACATTGACGACACATCATTTATTTGAGAACCTGAAATATTTAACGAAAACTAAAATTTCTTCCAAATCGAAAATAAATTGTTTTTGATTATTTTTCTACCTTTAAAGTTTTGATCAATAACTGCTGAAAAGACACCTGAAATATTGTGTGGCCAGGGACACCAGTGCTGGAAAGGAAGAACGTAGCTAGAAAGAAAAAGAACCGGATACATTTGACACAGATCCAGGGTATTTGCCATTTGCTTCACACAGCCTAGCTAGCAACTGTGCTTAGGGTAATTAAGTGTTTCACTACTTGTACAAATACTCTTGATGAAAGCATGAAGCAAAATTTCTAAATCAGCAATTGTAATACTTTTCGTGAAAGCAGTTTTAGCCAAATTCAGACAAATCGCAAATGTTCAATGATTATTGATAGAGACTGTATAAGACGGGAGTACCTTTTTTTTTTCTTTTGTATATTAACCCAAATATGGTTGCATTTATTGTGATACCTACGATGTATTTGCAAGATCAAGAAAAGTAAATCAAGACTTGTATCCTGAGTATTTTCTTGTTAGCTGAAGCAACATGTCAAAAATAATTTCATTGTCTGTTGTTTGCCAGAATTTGGAAAACATTTAGACTGATTGACCAAGTCAACATTGGCTGTTGTTTAGTATAGTGACTAAGGGGCCTGCCTTATTTTGTATTGACCAAGAGTATTCTCAATGAACATTGCAGAAGATGTAGTTTACAGTTATTTCGTTCATAACCATTTCATCCCATGTGCAACATGTGTTAATACTCATGTACATATTATTCAACATCAGACTATGCCTCAACTTTTTGGGAACTGGTCATTTATTTTGGGGAGTCGCCAAAACTTATATATTGAGGGGGGTTAAGAAATGACAGTTCTAAAATTGGAGCCTTGAGAACTTGTTTAAAATTATAGCCCTGCAATGCTACTAGTCAGTGAGGACTACCCTCACTGAATGTGTTCACTTGTCCTCAGACTCGTGAAGATCCGGGATAGAATAGGTCTTCAGCAACCCATGCTTGCCGTAAAAGGTGACTATGCTTGTCGTGAAAGGCGACTGACGGGATCCGGTGGTCAGACTCGCTGACTTGGTTGATACATGTCATCGATCCCAATTGCGTGGATGGATGCTCATGATGTCAATCACTGGATTTTCTGGTCCAGACTCGATTATTTTACAGACCGCCATCATATAGCTGGAATATTGCTGAGTGCAGCGTTAAACAACAAACAAACAAACAAACTTGTCCTCATCACAATTTAGTAGTGTCGGGTTAGCAAACTGGACTGAGGCTCCAGTTTTGAAGCATTAAGAGGGTGGGATAACTGCAGTCTGCCAAGCCATTTTGAGATGACTGATCCTATGTGTCTATTGGCATCAATTTCAATAGATTTTGGTCTTGATAAACTGTCATTGGCTAAGCTTTCTATCACAGAAATAAGTATTCCTGAACTCGAGTTTGTGGCTCAAGTAACAGGCTGTACCTGACACTCATGCTTCTCATATATCCTGAGTTTCTATTATTTCATTGGTGCAGTATGATAAGCCATTGGACAAACCCAACACTTGCCAACACCATTGGCAACAGATTCAGAAAGTCTTTTTCAGTACTGTCCGACCTAATCCATTCCAATCTTCCTAAGGTTCATGTTTTTGTGATAGATCAGAGCTCCAGATAAGCTTTTGATGTGGGTATTTTACCCATGCATTTTTAAATCATTGGGTATCAGTAATTCTATCTGGGTATTCAAATTTCTGTTACCCACTAGTTTTACACATGTGGGTATTTAAGTTAAATATTTAAAAACTATTCATCTAGTCCCTGCAAACTGGTGTCATGTGGGTTCGAGAGCTTTATAGGACTCCAAAATACCACGATACTTCCAGAAGAAAGTGTGATGGCAAATGATCATGATGTAACTGTCATCGTGGAGTTTGGCAAGGTTGACGGAATGCCCGTTTATAATTTCAAAATAAGTTGCTGATTTTCTAATCAAATACGCAGGGTTACTTCACAATATTTTGATGATACACACAAGTTTTATTTTTGTAGCGTATCTGTAATGTTCGTATTTTACTGCATATTTCTGCATTTCTGATGCGTATTTTGCGCAGATACGCAGCTTATCTGGAGCTCTGACAGATATGAGGATGATTTTGTCAAGTGTTGAGTGTATTTGTCACCAATGTATAGTGTGATTGACACTGTTACTGTAAGTATTTCCAAGTGTTATGATTATATTTGTGTTACACTACTTGTTCCTGTAGACGAAGGGGCATGGGTTGCCATAGTGCATCACTTCGGAACTTCTGATGTCAATGCCAGATGAAACTGAACATACAATTCAAAGTGGTATAAAACCACACTCATTCCTATGGAATGGCACAGTGGTCTAAGATGCCACAATTGGCTGTGCAGAGTTGTGTCCCTTGATTGTGTCAGGATCCGATAACAGATATGCCCCTTTACTTTAGTGATCCTTTGTCATTACCATTACCATTGTGGGATTCACTAAAGTGGTAAAAATCTAGCCTTTCCTCCCACTTTAAGCTGACACATTATTGAAATACTGTTCAAAGTGGTGTTTTGAACTCGGCACACTCTATATTGAGTAATTGATAGTGAAATAACATTTTTCACATTGTTATACTCATGTGTACTTACAAATACTTGTTTCTTGAAAAGAAAGAAAAAAACGATAGAGATGTAAACTTAAGCCTTCAGTTCTATAAACAGGGATGAGAATTTTCCATGGATCAGCGGAATTCCGCCAATTCTGTGATACATGCCATAACAATATACACATAAATCATACAGTCCATTAGACACCTTTCTAACTTTCAAAGTTTTTAAAACAACAAACATAAAATTCTCAGACCTGTAATCTAAAAGTGTAAAACAATTACATTACAAATGCATTTAGGGTATATATGTTATTTTGGTTTGACGAGTTGGTTATTATTTTTACTGATCATTAGAACCATGGCAGACCAGCTTCCACTGTACATTACAGTGTTTTATCAACCCTTTTGGGTCCCATAGGCATAGGAGATAGTGAATCAACGCAAGTGTTATCAACTGCATGTCACATTAAACTCCAAAGATAACAAATGTTGGAATGATTGAAACTTATTCAATTGATGCATGAAGATAGTGTTTATCTGACATTTCTGTTGTAAGAAACAATAAGTTTCAGCTCCTACATGGAAATCCCAATTTATGACAAACATAAGGCCACACATGTACTTTGGTTAGAATTGGTCTTCGGCAACCCATGCTTGTCATAAGAGGCGACTATGTCAGTCACTGGATTGGCTGGAACAGACTTGATTATTTGTAGACTGCCCTCCTAGAGCTGGAATATTACTGAGTGCCGAGTTAAACAACAAACTTGCTTAATGCCTGACAAGGCTTAAGATGGATCCTAAATTTAACAGAAATGATTATTGTAGATTTAAATGCATGCTGTTTTTTTTCTTCTGTAAAAATTGTATAAATCAAAGCACCAAACTGCGACTGTTCAGTTTGAATCAACTTTCATTTTTCATCTAATCCTATATATAAATGTTAGTGTGGAAACTGCATTATTATGAAGTTAATTATTTAACTTGCAGTAGATATTACAATCTTGTACATACTGACCATATCAAGTATAACTTGCAAGAATTTCCACCATGAAGAACATAGTCACTGTTATTTCTATGCACATTATTGTTCTTTTGTATATAGTGATGGTAGATGTTCCTGTACATAATGATCATGTATTATGTAATTTGTCCATGTGTGTCGGCTGTGAAGTAGAAGACAATTGGTTCTCAAACTCTGGCTGCAGTGTTCTAGCAACTCAGGATAGGACTGTTATTTTGACTGTAACACTAAATTCTTACATCTAAACTGCTTTTCAAACTGACATTGTCATATATATTTCCAGCCTTGATTAGAGAACTGACTGTATTTTATTTCTCAAGTCTTACCTTAGCTTCATATAAGAAAAGCATTTGTATATTAGGTACCATCAAATATTCCCAATAAATCATCATTCATTCAAATAAATTTGATCATTTTGGTTTTGTATCACAAAGTTGATTGATGTTTCTGCAAAGTTTAGGCATGGAACTGTATTACTTGGGTTTCCGGGGTAGAATAGGTCTTTAGCAACCCATGCTTGCCGTAAAAGGTGACTATGCTTGTCGTAAGAGGCGACTAACGGGATCAGGTGGTCAGGCTCGCTGACTTGGTTGATGCATGTCATCGATCCCAATTGAGTGGATCGCTGCTAATGATATCAATCACTGGATTGTCTGGTCCAGACTCGATTATTTACAGAGCGTCGTCATATAGCTGGATATTGCTGAGTGCGGCGTTAAACAAACAAACAAACAAACAAACAAATAGTATAAGTTCAATGTTTACACATTTTAGAAAACAGGAAATGTATCTTGGATAAAAAAAGTTCAAAACGAAATTCTCGTACCATGGACTCCAAGATCGGTAGACATTAATGATTAAGTGACTCTTTTGTTTCTTGTTTACACAAAAAGGTTTTATCATATTCCAGAAATACAATCACATGACACGGTACCATTAAAATGGAATGAATAAATAATTTGGAATGGATGTTGGTCTGATAAGCATTGTCTATAGACATGTTAACCTTTCGTGGACTGGAATCCGCTTTCATTGAATTCGTAGATAGGCCACTTTACTTTATATGTTCATAAATATCACATTAGAATGTATTAACTCACCTTATGTTTTCATACAAATAAAAGTTAAACAAACTTTGTTAATCAACATTTTATTAAAGCTCAATAAAGCTAAACATTACTTGGACGAATCCGATGATTTTTCCAAGAGTGATGTTAAATAATAATTTAGCTATGTACAGCTCATACTAAATTTTACGTGTTTGAAATGACGACTCTTGAAAGAAGATCCTTTAAACTCATACTGTAAACATGATATTAGTTCTCTCAAAGAGTTTTGGCTCTGTAGTGATCTTTACTTCTGAAATTGCCAGACTGGAGAAATGAAGTTTTGCGTGTATGTTTCTCCTGATGATCATATTTTGTTCAAATAATTATGATTTTGTTGTTTTGTGTTTGTGAAACAGTTGGGTATTATTTAAAACTTGTATGTCAAGAGAAGGTTATAAGGCTCAGAGTTGTGAAGTAAATTTAATTGTTGTTAAGAGGTGATTTCCAAATGGAAACGCCATGGTTAATTAAGAAATCGGTTCATACACAAAGAAACGTGAAATCAAATGAGAAATTAACAAATTATATTGAAACACGCAGCTCTAGGTTTACAATCCTAAATTCAATACAATTGATCAAATAGGTGAGATGAAGTGAGATGAGGTGAGGTGAGGTGAGGTGAAAGGGGGTTTAGCGTTGCCTTCAAGATTGTTGCATTTATATAGCGACACGCATGCACGTGTGTGTGTGTGTGTGTGGCTGCTTGTACTAGTTCGGACTATTGCCGATTAATAGTGCTAGCTCACTGGGATACCACGTCGCAGTTGAAAATGAATACCCCACTTAGACAGTATACTGACTCCGAGCCGACCAGTCTTTCTTTTGGCCCCTTAATGCCGGGCGCCAGGCAGGGTAGCAACAAGTACCATCTTTTAACGTCTTTTGGTATGACTCGGCCGGGTATCGCACCAACGACATTCCGCACTCCGGGCTGACGCTCTATCCGGTTCCTAATTGATCAAATAAGTGACGGGAGCAATAAAGAACAGGCCCTACAATATATGTCCGTGTAATCTAGATTGTCCAGAATGTTTCACTGTCGAATGTCTTAGAAGATGGCAGAAATTTCATATTTTTCGGAAAAAATATCCCATCCGTATTTAGATAAGACGCAGGTCAGGTCGTTAATGGCCTCGATTTGCCCTCGTATCGCTTATATATGTACAGTTAGCCTTCTAGAAACTGTTCCATCCCGAAACGTCTCGAATGATGACGTCTGTCCTGTGTTTGTCAACAACCAAGGGAGGTAACTCTAAATAACACTTCCTTTTGCAATCTGGCCACAACAGCACGCGCACTTTTACGTGCGCTTCAGTCATATCTGCCATGATAATCACTACAAATACATTTACAAAAACTCCACTGCCTCGGGACACTGTTGTGTATTACAAGAACATTCTGCAAACGAACATTATATTTTTTTAATTTGTTACCTCTTTCATTATTATTAATACGTTTGCCCTGAGTATATTTGTGGGAAAACATTTGAATAGAAATGTTGCCATCACATTTCGTTAAGTTACTGCCAAGGTCACTGTTTGCTACCTGAGGGCACGGGTGGTCCAGTCGTCTAAGGCGCGGCGATTCGCTGTGCAGAGTTGCGTCCCTTGGGCACACCAGAAACCTATGATTATGGGTTCGAATCCCGATTCGCCCCGATTATGTTTCTAGGTTTGTCAGCACTATGCCCATGCTCGTGGGTTTCACCGAAGTAGTAAACGTCTGAGACCCGCATCACTTGGGGCTTTCCTCCCACATTAAGCTGACACGCCGTGATATAACTGGAATACTGTCAAAAGCGGCGTTACACCCAACTCACTCACTCACTCACTCAAATTTTATATGATTCTATCGTGTTCATGCTTATATCAAGTTACTGACTATTTCTGTTCGAGTGAATAAATAAATTACCAGTGTTAGGTTTTTTTCCTTCTTCTTTGGAAGTTTTGAAAGTTATTTTATACAAGCGAAAATAAATGGAGGCGCCAGTGCATTTACTTCTAATCAATCTTTCAAACCCTAATCTTC